GTTTCCTCAACTTCATAGTTTCTATTAGCACACACTTTCTAGCGTTGGGAAAATGCAAGAAAAGCAAACGGTGTGTTAAAGTTAAACAAACAGCGATAGGGCCTTTGTGTTCCCACGACAGTCCATTATCAGTTAAACAAGACAATTTTCTGATAAGATTGTCAAATGAGTTAATTAATCGTTAATTTGATTGGAAATTAATATGTAGATAATGTGATAAAGTAGCGACATGTTATCTTAATTTGATTTTAATCGTTTGCGGAAATACTGTGATGAAAACATATAAGGTAACTCGGAAAACAGGTAACTCAATCGTGTGACTCACTAAAACAAGAGCATAAAGTTCTCATTTTTTTTTTAAATCACAAAGGGAATTGCAATTGTTTTAGTCCTCACAGATGTATTGAATGAAGTAAAAATACTCAAACAATTCCTGATTTAAAAACAACAAACCTGGTTGAGATATATTGAGAACTGATCCTATAATAAAATTGTAAAGGAACTTTATATACACCCTGTACATCATTTCATTCTGGTAAGCCCTGACCCTGCGGGATTTTACAAAAATAAATCATAATATCACAATTTTCTGCGAGTCCCCGACCCCATGTAAACGCTCGATTACGCTTCTGTCGAACCTTGGCCCAAATCGGAAAATCTGTTTGGTTAAGGCTATCAAGTGTCACTTCTAAGTGTATGGAACAGTGAAAATCCATCCGGTACATTTAATGTGGCAAGAGTACGAAAACGATACGACGATTGCGGAAAGTTTAAAAACGACCTCGGCTTTCTTTTACACTGTTTAATTATTATGCAGATACTGTTACATTTTGGGGCAAATAAACATACATACATATATACATACAACCATTTAAACTCGGTTGACCGTAACCATTCACTATTGGTTGAACGATAAATATGTAAAATCGGTTAACCGGAAACCAGTTAAAATCGGTTAACCAGCAAATGTTTATAATCGATGAATCGTTAACCATTAAAAATTGGCCGACTTTTACCCATCTAAGTTCGGGGAACCGGTAACATCCTAAGATTGGATAATTACTTGAAAATGATTATTCGTTAACCATCTACCATCAATTGACCGGTTAACCGGTATAAGTCCTAAACCGAATTTACATGACTCTTTTTGTGAAATAGTACCGAAATAGAATAAAATGAAAAGGTAGCAATTATAAACGTTTTCGGCCACAGAACGCGTCTCGTCCTTGAGATCACTAATTAAGGCGGGACTTATGACGCCAACGGAACAATTTGCGGTCTCTATGTCATTTCATAAGACTAACTAAATTTAATGATAGTTATTAGATAAATGATCAGCTTAGCTAGGTTTATATATATTCTATTTCATATATTGGTTAAGGATGGTGAATTCTGGTAGATAGTAATTATGAAAAGTTACATTGAAAACGGTACGCTGTATCTTTAATTATGCGATTATGGTTAGAGCTAAAAGCTTGGTGATTCAATAAAATAATGTTGTAACATAGTCGAGTTGGAGTGAATGTGAAACAGAAATAGATAAAGATATAGAAACAGGGGTTCTCAGCGTTATTGTCTTCATTTATATAAAAAAATACTCCTACAAATTACTATTATGGCATATTGTATCATATAGATAGGAGATCAAGATGGTTTATGCTTGTTGGTAGATATTTATGTAATAACGTAAGAAAAAAATGCTTGAATGCCTTCAAGCTTGAGGGCGGTCGATGCTAGTCGGAAGTACACTCGGTGCTCCCGAAGTATGCGAACCAAGATGGCGGACATCGGAACGTAACATGGGTAACAGGTTAGGGTTAGGCGATAATTTTTTTCCAATTTTCCCTATTTTAGTCCTATTATCAGTTCGAAGACTAGCCAAGAGTCTCCCGTAGTATTTATACCTAAAATTATGGCCTAACCCTAACCTAGTACACATATTACATTCCGATGTCCGCCATCTTGGTTCGCATACTTCGGGAGCCCCGTACACTCTATATATCTTATAGTAAATTAGGTTGGTGCATGGATATGGTGGTTATTATTTGGAAACGTCGATTTGATTAAAGAAAGAAATGGATGTTTTAACAGTTTTTAATCCCATGTGCGCATGGTCCGATGGTACGAATTGTATTATGCATTTTTTCACAAAATTCCTGACCATTAAGTTCATTTAATCAAGATCTAACTTCGCCTGACCAAAATGAATTCATGGTTTGCTTTGTGGGTGGACCTCCCACCCATTTTGAAAAGTAAAAAAAACTTTTATTGCATCATGCATAACAATTAGACTTGAAACGCTCTATAGTCTATAGACTCACAAGATTCCAAGTCCACGTTTTCGGCGGGCTGTTACGATCTGACATGACAATTAAAAATTTTAACCCCTCCCCCCCCCCTTTGAAAATTCCACGCCCCTGTTTCTGGGGGGGGGGGGGTAAAAAAAAAACTTCAAGCAAGGGCATAGAGTGAGCATATAATTTAGACACACGCTGATTTCAGTCGATGCGCGGAAAATAAAAATAGTGATATAATTCAGTAAGACGTAAACAACTGTGAAGAAAACGAATCGCTTCTGTCATCATTTGAAAAATAAAACCGCTTTAGCGCGGTCGGTCAGTCATAGAGTGCTGACAACTCAAAGTTAAATCCGATAGAGAATGTTTTTCTCAGCTCGTTCGAAACTGCGTAATCCAAGCACTCGTCACGTTCTTGTATATATATCTGTTTGTTGATGTTCCTCAAAAAATATTTCTGACGGTCACTTTTTTATAAATTCTAATCCTATCGGTCAGTAATGCTCTTAGTTTTAACCCAAAATAGTACAAATCCGCTCGTTTCGATGAAAATTCATGTCCATGCGAAAATAATCTGATTTTGAAATTTTTCACACGCGGAAAAAATATGAAACAAATATAATATGGAAAAACAATCTGCCTTACCCGAAACAGAAGGTGCGGCTGCGTGAGTTGTGGGCCTGTGGCTCCTTAGTTTCGGTATCATTTAGGTCTTAGGTTCCCGAAGTGCTCCCTACATAGCCCCAGCCCCCAGAGATTCGATGGAGAAACCTAGGAGCCTCGCGAGCTAAGAACTGACTTAGCTAATTTTGTAACTGTCCAACGGCAATAATAAAATTTGAAATCGGTTAATACATTTGATTCGTTGAATAAAATGATTTAAATTACTCAGAAACATTCGTTGGCAAGTAACAATGTGTTTTTTATTAATATAACTTAATTTGTAGGGCTCCTTAAATAATAGTCAACCCTTGCTCCATAACTCCAAAAGTTTGAGAACCCCTGATTTTTAGGGCAACATTCCTTTACAAAAATCTTGTATATTTTAATTCTTACTCAGTTTTTGTTTGCTCTCCTGGTCTTTCGTTCATATTTTATCAATTATATTATCACCTGTTATGCTCTCTTCGAACCGAAGGAATTTCTACCTATATTACTAGGTTTAAGCGCGAAATATTAATTTCGCTAAAAATCCTACTATGTAGATTTCCTGTGCGTGATGTTCTCACTCCTTTAACAGCCCGGGGGAAATGACAAAATGTACCCCCTCTCGTTCATAGCTATCTCCCGCTAGATTCGAACCCGCAAACCCACTATGGGTAACAAAGCGACGGAAAGTATTATCCCAACCAGTGATTTCCCTACACCCCCCTATAAGGGGGTGAACACCCCCCCAAAGTTTCGAACGATTTTCCAAAACCTCGCGCTAATATAAACAGGGATTTCCTATAATTGAAGGATTGCAAGGGAGATTGAACGACTTCAAGTTACGAGCGAAACGGGATTACATTTTGTATATTTTAAACTAAGCGAGGTTAACTCGTGTTAACTTATGAGCGTCATTCCCTGGTGCAAATTGCATCGGGCTTAGCTATTGGCGCTATGGCTTAATGCTTGAAGCATCGGTTTTCAATCAGTGGGCAATGACCTACTGCTGTGCCACAGAACATTTTCAAATGGGGGCTCCCGAAGTATGCGAACCAAGATGGCGGGAGCACCTTCAAATGTGCCCTAAATCTATTAAAAATTGTTAATAAATTAAGTTAAATTAGATGGTAGTAGTAATGATTGATGATGTTTTTATTTGCAACAGGGTTGCAATTTTCATTCTAACTATCAAAGTGGATTTTTTTTGTTTTTCTAGTAGCTTTTTCTTTATAAAAAAAATTTTTTATTCTAATTTTTTTTTGTTACGACAGTACGACTTTTCTCATTTTCTATTCCATATCCCATTAATATATTCCGCGAAACACAGTTTGAAAATTTTAAAATAATATGTCTTTTTTTGCCAACTGAAAGCAGCTTTGACTCTCACGATTTTTAAAAGGATTTCCGCGGTTTAGTATCAGAGATAGATTTGAATTTTCTTAATCTTAATCTGTTTACATCTTTGTTGTCTTTCGGTCATAGTCGGAATTGTAATCGTTATTGTGATCGCAAATGTTGATAGTTTCGTTTTATATTTGTAGTCGCATAGCTTTTCCTTTTTATTTACATTTGAGTAAAATCCTATCAGAAATGTCAACATCCTAATCTCAACCAGAACTTCTATAGCTCAAAATTTTAAGACGTATTTATATTTCAGTTCTGTATATGTATAGTTATGAGTTACTGTGAACGCATAACTACGGGCTTTTTAAAAGAACACTGAGTAAGGCACACAACATCTCTGCGGAGATTGTAACGAGACTTTATGGACAACCTGTATTTGTCTTAAGAAGTTTAACTTTGGTCAAGGGGAAGTTACAAATATAAATATTACGTGTTGATATGCAGCAAGATTTGTGTTTTCTAAATATGTTGAAATAAAACGCCAGTCGCTGTTATAGATGACCAAATAATAGTTTTTTTTTAAATAATGTTGTTCTATGAAATTTGCTATTTATGGCAGTGAAATTATGAAAAATTTTTTTGTTAAAATCGTTTTTAATTATGATTTCTGAGGGAGTCTTTAAATTTGACTCTGGTCAAACGAAAGCTACAGTAATACATTGTGCTTTCGCGTACTGAGCAGTAAAACTCAATAATTTTCATAAAATTGTGATTGTAATGTCTATTAACTCAAATCCTCTGGAATATAGAGTGAACTCTCTAATAAAACCCGTATAATATAATACAAATACAGGGTGTCCATTAAGTCACTTTACAATTTCAATTTTATTATGAAGTCAGTTCTCAATATTCTAACCAGGTTTGTTGTTTTTTAATTAGTAATTGTTCAAGTATTTTTACTTCATTTATTACATCTGTGAGGGCCAAAACAATTTAATAGTATCGAACTATCGATTAATTTCCTTTGCAATTTTGAAGACTTTATGGACACCTTATACACTCTAAAAACTTGGCATTTTTTATGATTAGCAAAAAAAATCAGTTTTCATATTTTCTCTTTTTCAAATTTTGATTAAGTTGTAATTTCTATGGAGTCCTTACACGAATCAAACCGATCTAATAAAAGCAGTATAATACAATTACAACTTGTTTCCCCGGGAGATTCCTAACTTTATTACAAAAAATAAATTAAGCGAATCACTACCACGAGAACGCGAAATTAACACTATACGCTTCTAACCAAGCAAAACAGTAATGAAAAGACGTTTCAATAAAAAAACGTTTGTATTTCTCTGGCGATTGCTGACTGATATATTTTCATTTGCAGTTTTATTAACCTAGCTAGGCTTTCAGTCGTTCAGTAATTGCTTATGAAGCGGAACAAAACAAGCCTCCCATATCCTATAAAACGCTGTCGTCTGCTTTTCTTCAGTCCATTGTGACATCAAAGAGAAGGAATAATGGAAATATCTTGCACGCAAAATGCAAGTATGAGATCACAAAGCAAACAAGGATTTATTGACTTTGGTAATTGTGACCGAAGAATACAAACGATAAATCGCAGACGAAAAATATCAAGTTCATTGTTATGGAAAATTTATTATTTAGACAGAACGAGTCGAGCCGCAATCATAATATTATCATTAATATTGATGGGAAACGGCACAAACGGCGCGAATTGTCCCGCAAAATGTTCTTGCCAAGCTGCCAATACGGCGTTTTGTAATCATAAAGCATTGACATATTTTCCCATGGATTTTTCACCGTCGATCGAAAAACTTTATTTATTCCATAATAATATTACAAGGATTAATCCAAGAGCAATAGCGAATCTAAAGGTGAGTGTGATTAATTTATTTGTTTCATATTTTGCGGGTCAGTACTTCCCAACCTTTTTGCTTCCTCCTTTTGCCTATTTCAAATTCTTCATCTATACCTTACGCGCGAAAGCAATTTATTGTTTTATCTTTATTGAATAACTATCTGTATGTGCTACTGCCACTCTGACTTATACACATTCGAAATGTATTCCAATATAAATATGTAAAATACCCTAATACTAAATAAGTAAAGAATGCTAGTAATTGTGGAAGTATTTGAGACCAAAAACAGGATTTATATATTGATTCACATAAATTCAAATGGATAGTCAAAAGAAATAATAGATTATAGATACTTAGATGCAAGATCGTTTTTTTTTCTTCGACTGTCTCAATTTTTAAATTCTCACCTCTTGTCTGTGTGTATACTTTTATCAATGGAGTTCAAAGGTCAACATTATTTATTTATTTCAGAACCTAAAACTATTGGATTTATCTGGCAACAAGATTTCAGACAGTTCACTATGGAAAGGAATATTCAGTCAACTTCGTCTTCTGGAAAACTTAATTCTACAAGATAACGAAATAAAAAGCATTTCAGCTGACATGTTTCAAGGTACAGTTTTTGTAAATTGCCTTTTTTTTTTTATCGAAGCACGGTTCCAGACAAGCAGGACAAAATACTTGTCTACCGATATTGAGAGAAGCGGAATCTTTATACATGCAAACTTATGGTCATTTTCATTGTGATATAATTAGTGCTGTGCAATTCGAATCGAATATTTTTCGAATCGGTTCAGACGAAAATTTCGAATCGCCGCCATCTTGGTTGTTTTCTTTACGCCCAAGAACTAACTGAGTGGTGGATTCTATGACGATGAAAATAATACAGCCATTTTAATTAGACGTTTTTACATCTTATAAAGCAGTGTGACCCGTGACGTAATCCTTCCATTAATAGCAACTTTTTTGCATATCAGTTGCTGCATCTACATGGCGAATTTGTTAAGATAGCCGCCTAAAAACCCTAATTTACCAGACATGCACACAAAAAATACCTAACGAACGACGCCATCTTGTTTCAGGTCTCAACAATCTGGCTCGTATTTATCTCCAAGGAAACCAAATCTCATACATTGCAAATGGAGCGTTCAACAACTTACCGAATCTCGTCGAATTGAAATTACGGAACAACAAACTCGTCTCATTTCCTCGACTTATCAATACATCCAACTTGCTATTACTAGACCTTGGACATAACATGCTACGATCGATACCTGACATGACACTCTCGACTGTAAATCTGGAGCATTTAATGGTAAGTTGGTACTCCTGTAGTGTGTGTACCAGATTGGGATTAGGTTATCAAGACATGGTAATTCAGTTTCATGATTACAAGATAAATGGGCGAATGTTAAAATTTCTGAAGTATTATTTGTAAGTATTAAAATGAAATAGGTGCTGCGCATCCTATAAAGACTGGCGTCTGCTTTTTCAAATGGTTGATGGGACCCCGTTCGAAGACCACTGGTCAGACAGAGCTTCCCAAACGTTTAAGCTCGCGATCCCTTTCAATATAATAAAATTTTCCGCGGCCCCTGTCTGCAATGTTATGCAAGCGCGTCGGTTCTCTGGGCCTATGTATTCTATCGAAATTGTGAGATTCATGTTGTACATTGGTTTTAATATTTGTGTTTCGAATAAAAAGTCTAAAAAAGTACAATAGATAAAGCAGTTTATGTGAAATTAGTGTACTCCTTTGCGACCTCTAAAATCCGCTGCGCGTCCCTCTGTGGGGTCGAAAGCCCTACGATAATTGGTGGTTAGTAACGAAATTCTGAGGGAAGCTATCGCTGTCCAAATAGATGTGTTTGTGCTAAAAATCGAGACGATGAAAACTGTTTATGATAAATAGTTTACCATCCTTGGTGTTGGAAAGCAAATGAAAAAAATTTCGCATCGCACAACGCCCTGAACTGGTCACGGTATAGGAAGTGATGAAATACAAATAACAGCTACAATGAGTTATGTTAGGTTATACAGTATTTAAAATTATTTGTATAAAGAGTTTATGACTACCAAGACGCAAAAGCGATATTTATAAAATAATTACAAATATTTCACTCTAAGTCTAAACAACATAAGTCATGATTTGGACATGTTATAAAATGGGTTGGGGCGTCTCATCACAGAATTTAAAACGCTTATTCGAAAAGATATTTTACAAGTTTATATTTCTTTGTTTTAGCTATTTTTACTTTTTAAATCGGGGTACCCGCCCTGGCCTCGCCCTGATGTTAATATAAAAAGAAAATCTGCGGCTCAACATTATCATATAGACCCCAATATGCTTATTTGGAGAGATATTTTACAAGTTTCTATTTTCTTTGTTTTAGCTTCAGGACAACCGTCTGACTCAGCTTCGAACATCAATTTTCGATGACACGAGCCGACTCACACAACTTGACATCAGCAAGAATAGACTTACGGCCGTCCCGCTCGTGATAAAGTAAGTGCAATATTTCTTTATGTGGTGTTTTCTAGTAATTTGCAAAACAAATCTCGAAAGTTTACGAAAACGTGATAATATATTTATACCCGCTAAGTGGGTAGCAGAGAATCCAAAATTAAGAATATTTTAAATTGTTAGACCGGGAGTGTGCAACAGGCGGTCGACAACACGGCCATCAAGCTATTCTTTGTCAACACTCAGACTTTTCCCGATCAAGCATAAAATACATGAATTTTTTTATTTTGCTAATTTCACTGTATGTCCGAAGTTGGGTACAGTCGAACCCCCCAAAATCATTTTTCTGTATCATAGATAGCAATTTTCCGCAGCCCAAAATGCTTTTTAAACCCCCAAAACTAATAAAAACACGCGTATTCCAGCGTTCGATCGGACCCGCTAGCAGTTTCGATCTAACTTGGCAAAAAAAAAATCAGAACTCCCCCCCCCATATGGCCCACCGACAAAAACTATTGCACGCCCCTAAGTTAAACTTGATATCATCGCCGGCTCAAATAGTATGCCACCTTGCTGTGCAGAGCCTAGTGTCGAGCGAACGGCGTAATTTGAATAAAAAAAACACGATATATTCTCAATTTACTAAATTTTATTAAAAATAACATTTTACCAAAAATAGCAAGTATTCTATATTCTATTAGCATCTTTCTAAACAGAGTCATAACGATCGCGTTAATAAATTTCCAAAAAAAACACACACATAAAATATTTTAGAAGCCATTTTGTTAAATTAACACAAAAATAATTTGTTTTCGCTTTATTTACGCTTCTAATGCGTGATGTCAGCGAATTCCTCGAGAATTATTCCCAATAACCCAGCATTACGGGTAATCTCGGCGCATTTTGCGCGGTAAATTATAAAGAAAGAATGCAGGCTGTGCTAAAGTACTAAGCGCACGATTTTAGCTGCTATTTGTAAAGTGATGCTGTTAAATAGAGACAGTAAAGTTAATAACATTTCACAGTTATGGGTTTAATGAGCGATCCCCCATCGTTGACTATATACAGAGTGTCCAAAAATGTCGCCCGATTTTATGGTAATAATATCTGTAATTTTGAATAAATTTTATTGTATGATAAATAAGACCTACAGGCACAATAAGAACTAATAATAAACAAAGACAAAGAAATTTTAATTGTTATTGATATAGAAGCGGGCGACTTTTTAGGGAAAAGCTGTTAGATAACCAATGGTCGTTTGCCATTTTCCTGTCAGTAATCGTTCAAATTTTAGTTGAAGACTCGGAATTTTTGAGCGCTAATTGTGAAGTAATACTGTTAAATGGAGGCAGTGAAGTAAATAATATTTCACAGTTATGTGTTTAATGGGCGATCTTCCATCGTATAGTATGTAAGCATGATTTAGGATTAAACCTATATAGACATAGCTTTTTTAAAGCCAGTGGGCACATGCAGTGGCGCAGTCATAGATGGAGGTCTTTTCGAAATGTAAAAAATCATTTTATATATCATACATAGCAATTTTTCGTACACCCACTTTCTCCGTCTCAACCTTCTATCTGTTACTGTCTAACTTGACAATTGGAAATTTCAAAATGTCGCACCCACCACAAATAGACGAGGGGGGAAATTCAACTAAAAATATGTAATATCCAGTACTAGCGGGTAAAAATAGAGTCGGTGAAACTACTACCTCGACATTATTACAATAATTCGCTAATTAATGACTTTTAATCACGTTTTTTATGTTAATATCCGCGCGCTAAATTAATTAAAATCTCTTTGATAATCGACATCGCTTGAACATGGAACGTGAATAATTTAGCTAAGGTTTGATAATTAAAAAAATAACCGTGAAAATGGGCATGGGCCATCCAAAAAAAAAAAAATTTTGGCTGTCATGACATGCGGAATTAAAATCTCGTCTCGCGGGTCCTTAACCGTTCCAAATTAGAACTTCGTCGCGGGCCACACATTTTTTTATTGTGGTCTGCATTTGGCCCGCGAGCCGCAGGTGCACACCCTTGCGCTAGACCAGTTCGAAATAAATTATACACACAAATTATTTCTGATATCTCCACATATATTGGATATATCATCCAGAATAGCAGGCACATTAAGCTTTCTTGTATAATTACCGCAAGCGTTTAGAATGAATTATATACAATTATACCCTCCGTATAATTGAGGGTATTGGGAATAGCGGCCTGCACAGATGAAAAGAAATTCTTTATTTTTTTAATTGTGGATACTCACGCGATGTGGCAAGTTATGAAATCTACATGCCTATAGGCTAAATTAGGGATTTATATATTATAAAGCCCTAGTCAAGAAGATATTAATGAGTAAAAACTACTTTTGGGGTCAAACGCTTCGGCCATTAGTCCAAACAATGCAACCCAAAAACTTTGAGGTGAATTTAAAAACATAGTGTTTTCGTTCAAATCGGACGATATTGTTTATTTCATTTATACATCGTTGTCAACTAGGTCCCGAAAAAATGGGCCAACTTAAAAAAAATGAGGAATTTCCACATTTCCAAGTTTTTCCGTACATGAATACCACTGGAAAGATAAACAGGCGGGCGGGCCATGAACGCCTCCTGAAGGGCACGAGTTATATATGCTTCTCCTTTAGCTAGTGTGCAGTAAGACACTCCGATTAACTTGTATTGCCTATTTTTAGTAAGTATAAGTTATTCACATCTTTCATTCAATTTCAGGTCGTTATCAAGTCTTCGAGCTCTTAACATGTCACTGAACAGAGTCCGGACGATCCCAGCCGACACATTTACAGACATGAGAAAACTCAAAACCCTGGATATCCATGGAATGGGTCTAACCTCGCTACCCTTTGGTATCATACCTAGAGGGGTTATACTCAACGTATTCGACATGACAGACAACGATTGGGATTGTAGATGCGATGCTAGCTGGCTGCCGCAATACATCAGGTAAAATAGTCAGTGTTAAATCACGTGTCCGGAAAATTCGCTGTAGAAAATTTTGCCGCATAGGAAAAATCGCCAAAAGAGCATTTTGCTGCAAGACAAGTATTTGTGATTAAAACAGTTAGGCTTATGGAGTTAGGGTTACTCTGAAATAACGAATTTTTTTCTAGGGCGAATTTTCCTAGAATCCTTAATTAAAATATAATATCCTGACATCCATAACTAGTGAGAAGCTTTTTAATGTTTTTCCAAGGTATAGGTATTTATCGTGGGATTCGTATACCTGAGATTTACGGCTTTAATCGTTACTTACAACGCCTAAATCACTTTGCCACTATATCCACCTTATTCAGTTATCGCCAGTAGAGGCGTACCCTTGGGTTGGGATTTTCTGTATTACACACTGCGATTTTTCTAAGCTTGCAACGCTTTGGGACCGCAAGACTTTTATAAATCCACGTTTTTCGGTCGGTCCCGCTAGCTGTTACAGTCTAACTTCGCAATAAGAAATTTTAGAACCTCCCCCCCCCCCCCCCCCCACCTTCTCCCATTCTTCGAAAATTCCGGAAAAATATCTATCTAAAACCTAGCCTCTATAACCTAGCTGTAAATTATCAAAATGGCGGAATATGGATCCCTATTATTCATATCATATTCGTTGTCACTCAGAGACAACCAGACTTATTGAAAAACATTAAAGGGGATTACTGTATAATTTACGTGATTTTAGCCTAAAATATAGCATTGGGTCGGTGTCGAATATGGAGAAATTACTTTTTATGGCTGAGGTCATCTATTGTACATAAATGAGAATATAGCAGAATAGTTTTACACTGTTTGACCTGAAAAGGATTCATACAAAAAGTCACTCTTATGTAACGATCTACTATTTAATGATAACCTGGATCTGTTTGATTTGTCCCTACGTACTCAATTTAAAATATTATTGAGCGAGATCACATGCATAATTGTTAAGCCGATCTATTTTCATCCGCGGCCATAAAAATCGATCTGTTTGCTCAGCCTTGGTCGTTAGAGATTTGGACTATATTGGCATTGCAGATGACCCATATCGTGTTAAACTTCAATGTCCCTCAGGGTGTAATAATAAATTAGAGAGACAAAGCCGAACCGTATTCCGGCCCTTTCCAACTATAGCAGCACCTAAATAATAGTGTATACTAAACGCCTTGTTTGGAGCGAAAACCATACAAAAACATATATAAAAAATAGACCAAATTTTTCATGGAAAAAAATCGCGAAAAATTAAATAATTTTAATTTATGTTCCGAAAGCGATAATTACTTCTATGTCAGCGGCCAATATCTTCCCTGAAAAGCATATAATTGGTAAATTATCCCCCTAATTATCGGTCGAGGAAGAATAAAAACGTCAAAGTATAAACTAGTTGAACTTCCTTTATTAAAATAATTAAATAAAATTTAAGTTGTTAGTAAAACGAAAGATGAGTTTGCTCAAATCCTAAAACAAGGCTACTCAACTGGCGAACCGCGATCCGAAAGCGGAACTTTTGAGTATTTGATTCGGACCGCACCTAATTCTTTATTTTGGATCATTCGCTCCACTTTAGATATGTGAAGGTATTTATCACGGGGGAAGAGAGGAAAGCCGATAAGACGGCTCGATTATATGGCGAATCACGACCTCTCGTCTGGTTACCAATACGTGTCGGATATGGGAATACACGCGGGCTTTGGACATGATTTTATATTAAGTTTTTTTATATTTATCCCGATGGAAAATAATTATAAAATTTTTGTATTTTTTTCTTCACAGCGTATTCAGACAAGCGTTTGTGAATCCTGACGGAATAAAATGCTCAGCAACATCAAAATTGAAAAACCGAAAAATTGAGGATCTTTCAGCAGACGATTTCCAGTGCACTGAGTAAGTATAGAAAGATATAGACCTGACATGTCCGTGCCTTCAAAATGAGTCAAGTCACATGTTCGTGGTAAGACGCCACAGTTTGTATCATGTTGCCACATTTTTGTACCACATTGCCACGTTTTCGTGTTATGACGTCAAGTTTTACATCGTGGCGTCACGTTTTCATAATATTGTGCAACGGTATTAAATCATATGTCATGTTTATCGAAAACCTACTTCAACACCCCAGGTATTTTATCAAAAGAGTAAGGGGCAATTCCCTTTAGTGCCTTTAAAGGTGTTGTTAAGCCACATGACTAGTATGGTGCCATTATTTTGTTTTATAATGCCATGTTTTGTATCATTGTGCCACATTTTTGCTTCGAGTGTCACGTTTAATAATATAATGTCATGGTTCTATAATATCGTGGCACACTCTCCTATCATAAAGTATAAGTCATGGGGCATACTCGTCTAGATAACTAAAATAATTTATCTTCTTTACAGGGAAGAATTAGCGAAGACTCATTTCCCGCCAAAAGTCACTACAACAACCAGTGCAACAACGACATCTAGTGATCCAAGAAAACCATGGGCTCCAAACCCATGTGATGTTTATCCTTGCTTCCACAAAGGAACTTGCTACCTTTCAAATGGACGACCTAAGTGCAGGTAATAATAAAGATTCTTTTCAAAATTTCTTTTTATTATAACACGGGTGCTTTCAATGTTTCCAGGCTTGTCCATGGGAAGAACGTCCTATGGTATGGGATAGCACACATCTGGGAACTCCAGAAGTATGTGAACCAAGATGGCGCACTACCTGAACATAGTATGTGTACCAGGTTAGGATTCAGGTCGTGCGCCATCTTAGTGCACATACTTCGGGAGCGCCCACGAGACACGTGGGTCCCGCAATATCGTATAATTTTTGGGAAAATGATGGTAAAACATTCAGTTATGGACCTCGTATCCATATATTTTAGAATAGCTTTCTTTTTGGTCAATAAGAGTAAAATATATTCAACATTCTCAGTACATGGCGTGTGCCATCGAGAAAGCCTATAACATTTCTCTGCGATATTCAGAACCAACGTCTCTCGTCTGGCAATAAATCATAGGAAATAATTTGAATGGGAATATTTAATCAAACGCGACTAAATTGACTTTGCTGGCTCAGCATAAGCAGCCTAAATTTAAAACTTTTATTTTATTTCCAGATGTACGAGATATTGGACCGGTCCGCAATGCAAAATCTCTTTACTACCAACAACAACTACTACATCAACTATATACACTAGGAAGCCTAGCACTAAGTCACCTGCAAAGCCAGAACTCATGATAAACCAGGACTCAGTAACTGAGAATTCAGTTGAGATTATACTTCCACAAACAGACACAGAACTGCTTGTATCTGTGAGCGAAATCGGGGAACACGATAATACGAAAGAACTGAGGATAAAACCTATCGCCCATCCGTTTACTGTGCTCGGTTTAGAGTCTGGAAAAAGCTATAATATTTGTATACATCTACCTTTGGGGAGTAGAAATGATAGGAACCCACCTTATATAGAAGAAAGGGACACGTTATGTGGCTCTGTACGTACTGAAGGGATTAGTGTAATAAATAAACCGGTCCATAACACAGAAATTCAAGTTGTACCGAGTCTCAGTGGCAGCGAAAATGTAAACCCAACAGAAAAAGGCACAAAAGACAAAGACGTAAAAGAATACAAGCCAGGTGAAGGCGATAAACTATACGGCGATGTGAATCCCGAAACGACACCAACTGAAAGCAGCAATTTTCAAATCATTTATCCGGCTATTGGTGCCGGTATTGGAGCCATAATTATCATCGTTTTGATAGTTATGTTTTTCGTCTGCTATCGTCAAAGACGTAGAAAGAAATTCAAACAAAATAACCCAGACTACGTCCCGGGTTCTCCCATAGACACCACACAAATGGTTGACATGGAGATGGCACCCACAATGCACCTGCATCAGCACAACCATTACCCTGCTGGATGGGTCGACCAGGCCAACGGCTCAAAGTCAGATAAAAATAAGAAAAATACGAAAAATAAAAAGCAAATAAATTATATAAACAACAACCAGAAAGCAAGAAAAGTCAGCACCCCAAATCGGACCAGCTCACCTGGTAGTAACTCAAGTAGCAGTAACGGTGGAACGTTACAAACTCGTTATGCCGACACTCCTCTTCATTACTCTCCACATCAGCAGTATAATCCCGCCACCCCGCCAATTCAAATGCAATATGACGTCATGCCGCAACAAATGAATGGCCGAGCGAACGAATATATATACAGAAACCATCAGAATAACAATAATTCCGCCATGTTGCCACCAAATAACCATTACATGCCACGAGAGAGGCCGTACGACCACGAGGTCATGGACGAAATGGCGCCTCTAGTGGTTGGCGGGATGAATCCGTACAACTATGGCGGACACTTGAAAAACCAAATGTATCCCATAAGTCAACACACTGGTCCTACGTACATCGCGCCTTCGAGTGCGGTATCGTATCCACAAGTTAACTCAAGGTCGGCGTTCCAGCCTATACAGAGCCCAAGAAAAAACACTGTCCGAACGCCGACATCTGATTCCGGGCCGATTACGACGCATGTAAATACAGTGCAAGTACTGCCGACGTCAACTTGTTTAAACCGTAATGTCGTGAATGACAGCATGGTACGGTACCAGGAAGGGGTACCGGTGGTTTGAGAAGTAAAAATACCGACCAGGGGTGTCTAAAACGAATATCTGAATACATTCAAAATATGTTATATTCGATAATAAATAAATAAATAAATAAAGAGTTTGAAGTATTTTCATTCAAAATTTTGTCATTTGTCTTAGGCATTTAAAATCTGATCGACCACCCAAAAAAGAAACAAATATTCAAATAAATTTGAAAATTGGGTATTTTCGATATAATTATATCTTGATTTTAAGAATTATTTAAAATAACCATATGAAATGAAAACAATGCTCATCTCAACTATTTTACATCGGAAAATCAATTTTTATAATTTACAATAGTTTTTGTAAATTCCCCTTTTGAAGATGACCCATTTTGTAATATACTCAATTTTTCACAAATAATATTTCAAAATGTCTTTGTAATGATAAATTATTCGTTTTGGCCATCCCTGAAGATGGCGCTGTTGAGTAACAACTAACGCTTCATTATTGCTGTAATAAAGAGCAAAATTTGCATATGCAAATCAATAAAATCATGCCAAAGAGTCTACGCTTCGGAAAATTGGATATTTGCATTCCGAAATTTGGTAAATGAGCTTTCAAGGGGATGTCTGATGAGTCTAAAACTAGGAAAATAAAGAAATTAGCTACGTACGTACAGGTTGTTCATTAGGTCCTGAAATTATTTTAAATTGCAAAGGGAATTTACTGATACCATATATAGTTACCTACAGGTGCGTTAAAATGGGATAAAAACTTCCTGGATACCGTATAAAATTAAACAAACCTGGTTAAGATATATTGAGAACTGACTTCATAACAAAATATTGAAATTGTAAAAGATCTTTATGTACACTCTAAACAATTGAATTGACTTGGACACCCTTGAAAGCTCATTTTTGCAGTAATTTTTACTTTTAATGCTTTAACACATTTTTGCTTTCGCAGAAAGTTTCACAATTTTTGAATTTTTTTTTATTTTTATTCTAAAAGTTGCCGAATATTTACATGTTTGTTTATTGGTTAACTGTGCTTCATTTTGACTGTAAAAGCAAATTTTTATTTTTTTTCATTGGTTTTTAACAGACGTTAATAAATTGAAATGGGATGCCCAAAATGGCATAATAAATAATGATATACTTACTGCTATATTTAGGCTTGCTCTAAGCAAGTGAGGAAATTAAAATTTCCAGTCATGTCAAATTTTACTGATGACAAAGTTTAACGTAATCACTCATATTCCAAAAATTATGCCATAAATCCTACCCATACATTCTAAATATCAAAAAACCAACATAGTTTGAATTCCAACAGTTTCGCATTGAGCTATACCTTTTTTTGCAGTGGTCCAAACTGCAGCCCGTGGTCCAATTATGGCCCGCCTTACTATTTAATATGACCGGACAAACTTTTAAACACTTTTAATGACAATTGTTACGTCATTATCACAGTTTAAGCAGGTGTATATTCGTAACAATTCACTTATACCGGTATCGTAATTATACCGTCAATGTTCCCTCTAATTTTTTGTAGTAAGTGTGCGCAGAAATTTTGGTGTGTGCGCACTTTTTTGGAAATGGCTGATATTTGTGCAAAAAATCAATAAAAAAAATTTGGCGTTCTAATCGGGTAATAAGTGGGCCAACAACAAACTTTCTCAACCTACCAACCGAGCACATTGTTACATTACATCAAAATAGTCTGTGCACAGTAAAACTATGCGTGTGCGCGGCCTCTGAAAGCTGTGTGCGCGCGCACACCTTAGAGGGAACACTGCATACCGGTATCTGTCCCTTGCGAATATTCTTCTGCTTCTAATTTTGGCCCCATGGTCAATCCACTTTGGGACCACTGTTTTATAGGATTGAATTTACATTATATTATCTTGTTTACACATCCCACTTTACTCTGCTACCTATATTGTCTTGCCTGATAACACTTTTCAATCATTCCCGAAGTGTTTATTCATTCCTTCTTATTTATCACAAATCCCTGAGTCAACATTTTTGTGATTAGAACCTACAGTAATATACAGGGTGATCGCTAAAAGAACAGAAAATTTTTCATGTGATATTACAATCACAGATGCTCAAAATGTCGCCCGTGCGCTTCAGAGCAGTGTCTCAACCTTGTAGTCGAAGCTCATGTAACCTTTTGAAGGTTAACTTGTGGGATATTGTTCCATTGCAACCTATATCTATTCGCATTTTATTCGTGATCTCATCTGACCTATATATTTCCTGCTTTTCTAGCGATCACCATGTTGTTATGAAGTTCATGTCTTTCGCATTCTGCAACTACACATTATTTGTGTCGAAATTTATGGAAATAAATCTGATTCTGACATATTGTCATAGTAAATCCAAATTAGCTAATGTCACAATTTCAAAAAATCGAGTATTTGGTCTTCTGCAATTATGAACCAAGGACCATCTCTTGGAAGGGTTATAAACTGTACATGTATTAGTCCCGATTTTAGATAGTGCGTTATGTCCATTTTAATTCTGGCTGATTGACCTAAAAATTACATAAATGTTTTTTTTTTTGAAAACCTTAAAACGTGACACAAAAGCTAATTTAAATATACTGTGGCTATATATAGGGTGTCCATAAAGTCTTAAAATTTTATAAAATTGCAAACGGGATTTATCGATACCATATATTTTTCAGCCCTCACAGATGTATTAAATGAAGTAAAATACTTGTTAAGATATATTGAGAACTGACTTCATAACAAAATTGAAATTGTAAAGTGATATTATGGACACCCGTATATTATCATATTTGCATATTAAATCAATCTTGCAAAAAGAGCCTTTCTTGAAAGTTGTATTTCAAGGCTAATAACTACTTTATTTAGCTTTACCATAGACAGATGCTTTGCTGTGCCAATTTTATGTTGCATTATGCATTTTTATTGTTATTATTCTATAGAGACTATTGCATAGAGTAAATAAAACGCTTCAATTAAACAACTGTGTTTACTGGGAATGCTGTCACTTAAGGTCAGTATTGTCATGAGTTTAGCGAGAATTTTAGGTCGAAGAGGGTCAACCGGTCAGTTATTTTTATTAATACAAAGGTGGTTTATGCGCCGATACTGGGGAGCAGGGTTACTCTTTTTTTAGTTCGAGAGTAGTGAAAAGAAGTTTATTATCGAGGGTTGGCTCCATGAAAAATGAAATTAAATCTGGGGAAACTGTCACTCAAGGTCAGCACTGCTGTGCGTGCGTTCAGCGGTGATTTTCACATTCTAGAAGTTGATCAGACCGTTCGTGGCTCCCGAAGTATGCGAACCAAGATGGCGGACATCGGAATGTAATATATGTACTGGGTTAGGCCATAATTTTAGGTATAAATACTACGGGAGGCTCTTGGCTAGTCTTCGAACTGATAATAGGACAAAAAAAAGGAAAATTGGAAAAAAATTATCGCCTAACCCTAACCTGTTACCCATGTTACGTTCCGATGTCCGCCATCTTGGTTCGCATACTTCGGGAGCACCGACCGTTCTTTTTAATAATACAATTATTGAGGGTCGGCTTCATGGAAAAATGAAAATAAGTCTTTTGTTATTTAGCTGTAAACTGAAAGTGTGCGAATTCTGCTACTCAGAGGGAAACGCCATGAAGGAATTTATTGCCTTCAAGCAAAGTTAGCGGTGCAACTCCATAAAGTCGAGTTAGTCACATAGTTAGGCCACACTCGTGGGTAATGGAGTGCAATTGTCAAGCTATTTTATTTTGGCCACTCGGACATATGACGAAACGACAACAAATGGTCTAACAAAATGCAGAGGACTTGGAGGACGAGCATAACTTAAGGAAAAAGCTAAAAGACGTACAAGTGCGTGCCCGTCCACCAGTCATTTTATTTAGATAACTCAAATCGTTTTTAATAAATTGTGAATTGAGTTAAGCTTTAATGGCGGATGGTTGGCAATTATAAATATCCGAGCGCATGATATGTTTGATAGTGTCAAAACTAACAGGGCTCGTATGGCATATATTCCGAACCTTTTTGTTCGAGTTTATCAGTGATAAAAATCTCGGCGCACATGAAAAATAAAATTGCTGTCTTCAAATAAAACTTAATTTTGTGATTGATAATGTGTAGTTTATGCCTTTTAAAGTTTGTAAACAAGTAGGCATCAGGTATGACGCAAAAGGTCAACTCATCTCTGCCTGATTTTCCTTCGAAATAATCACTTATTACCGCGATCGGTGCTCACCCGAGATATGCCACTAATCCCATACATAACACAAAATGTTATCCTAAAAATAGCAACCCATAAGTCCCTGATCTGCCTAATGTGTGCTCACCACCTAGTAGGCTCTCTTGTTTCTTTGTGTGCACTGCTTTGTGTGCACTGAATCAATTGGTGATAGAATAATTGAGTGACAAATGATTGTTGGACTTTTCCTTACCATTGCAGAATGGGTTCTCCACCATGGAGTCTATGCATCTGACAACAGTAAGTGATAGATGAACAGAAATCCGTGGCTCTACTCTCTACTCTTTACCTACTGCAAGACCCTGATTTACAGTGTGTCATGTCTAAATAGCAAAGCTCTGTCTTCTATGAAATTTATGATAGGGTCGACTGAGTGATGATAAAATCTCTCTCTCTCTGTCCATAAAAAGTATGATACTAGACTTTCTGAAACCTATGAGTTCTGTGACACCCATACCAATATATTCTCTAAATACCAAAATACAACTCCACTCACCCCGTTCCTGACCCAAAATCTTGAGTGTGCAGACATGTTGGCTTCTCTCCGGTGACGTCCCAAACTTTCAGCTCTTTCTGTCGACCCTGCGAATAAAAGTTAGGAACGCTTTCTTTAAAATTAAAAATCTATGCACTGGGACTTCAATCGTAGGGTGGTTCACGTAACCGCTGGTCTGTTACGGCTTCCTCCACCATCAAGTCCATGTTTCTGATAATAAACAAGAGAGCTACGCCCAAAAATATTGACACGTCTGTTCGCAGTACAGTACAATTTACCGTACCGCCAGCTCACAGTCTACAAATATATTCACACCAAGCGAAGCAGTACAGTAGGACACAAAATGGCGTCCGATGTCCGCAGAACGTTTAATGACGTCATAGCAAACAAAAAAATATCTCACAGAGTTAACAGAAATATTTAAAATGAATAAAAGTAATAGCCTTCTGGGGAAAAATTTTATCTTCAACCACTGAAAATTTCAAAGCAATTGGTCCAGTATTCGAAGAGAAAAGCGGTTTTTTATTATTTCCACTAGGTGTGTTATTTATTCTGTGTCAAGCAACAAGAACAATATAATATTGAAACGATCGTTATGTCCACTACGTGTCCAATAACTGGCTAACTAATCCCATACTCGACGTGGACTGGTAACTGGACGGGAGGCTATATGATTAAGTCGTCTTGTCAGCTTTCCTCTCCCCACAATAAATATGCAAATCCTATTCTAAACTTAATGCTTGTCTAAAAAGAACTAAAATCTGAATACACTACACTCATCATACGGTACTCCCGTAGTGTGTGTGTACCAGGTTGAGGTTAGGGCATTATTTTATTCCGATTTCCTTATTTTAGTTTTATGATGAGTCGGGGACTGCCTGTGTTAGCCAAGTGAATACACCCCCCTGCCCATAGGCTCCAGTCCCTTTACACAACTTGATGTAAAGTAGGTGAACAAAATCTGTTACCTCCATATTGGCACACACTCTTCTGGAGCGTCCATCATACAATACATTTAATAATCTCTATTCATCGTACCCAACCACCTGCTCAGCAAAAATATAAATATTCTTACACTTGAGAATCCAGTTGTAAAAACCTTATCTGACTCTCCTGCCCAGATAACTCTCGATTCTTTGTGATTAGCATGGGCTTCTCCAGATGTCATCACCTTCCCAGATCTGGGATCACAGATAAGAAGATAACGGTCCTGATAAGATAAAATAGTTTTTTTTATTTTTGTTTGTGAAGCTGCTCGCCTTGTTTGAAGTGCATCGTGTGACTGAGAATACTATAAATAACCACACATATTCCAGCTTCGAGCTTCCTATCAATAGCCATTATGGTTTTAACTTTGCCCAACGTTGCCCTTTAATTCTGAATAAGTGCAAATAACGTTCGTCAAAGATGATTCTCCTTCGTCCCTGAGTGAGTGCGCATAAGGTTGCTCACAGATGAGACTCCTTTACTTCCAAAATGAGTGCGCATACCTTTGATCAGAGATGAGTCTCCTTTACTTCTGAGTGAGCGCCTGTAACTTTGCTCAGAGATGAGTCTTCTTTAATTCTAAGTGAGTGCCCGAAACTTTGCTCAGTGATAAGTCACCTTTTCTTCTGAGAGAGTGCTGTAACTTTGCTCAGAGATGAGTCTACTTTACTTCTGAGTGAGTATTCAAAACCTTGCTTTGAGTAAAATTCCCTAAAACGCATCTCTCAACCATACTTCAATTCACCTTAGTCGTGGCCGCAATATGGATTCCATTTTTTTTCCATGATATGCATTGAATCAAGTCTCTTCCTGTGTCCAGTTCTAGAAAACAAGAATTTGAAATTATAAGAAGAATATTTTATGTTCTCTATTACAATTCTTGATCAAAATCAATAAAATTATTTATCTTAGCTCCTAACAGGGCATCAGGAATTCTCAAAGAGGGGTTCTGTAATTTCTAGTTGTCAAGTTAGACCAGGGGTTCCCAAGCTTTTTTCAGGACGACCCACAAGACAACTTTCAAGTGTCCAGTGCGACCCCAGGTCAATACCGGTATATATATTTTTCATGAAACTTTAGAGCTTCTTTCACTGGACTTTTGAGTTTAGTCATGTGGTGGTATTAAGTAAAATAAGCTAAAACCCAACAGTGATGTCACAATAAACACCTACATTTTTAATAACAAAAGCTTAGAGTGATGCCTATGGGCCTGTTTTACATTAAGCCATGGTACAAGCTGCTAAATTTAACATGGTTTGTCAAATCTTAGATGAGTTGTACATCCATCCTCTACCATACCTCAGCGACCCCACCGACACCATGACCTTGTTGCGACTAGGGCTGTCCAAAATCGAATAATTTTTTGATTCGAATCGAATATTTTCGCCGAATCGAACCGAATAACCGAATATTATTGCGTAATATTAAATCTGTCTCTATTATACAATAAACGTCTGCCCTTCGATGTTGTGGTAACGTATGTGCAGTTACATCTTACTTACCGCTGGTATTTTGCAATACAATGTTTTCAGATTTATGAAAGGAGATCACACGCTTGTATGAACTGGTCAAAAAAATTGGAGGACTCCAAAATTTGGGTCTCGGAAACTGTTGAGTGTTAAGAGTAAAAATTGCACTATTCAAAAATTGCAATCTCAATTTTGATGGATTCAGTTTTAATAGGACATGTAAAGCCTGTAGATGCTATTTTAATCCTATTCACTAGTCTTATGTTTTTTTGTGTAAATTTCAGCAAAATAATAACAGCCATCAATATGGATAAAACTGTTGCTAAAGTTCAAAATTGCATTTAAAATTTCCAAGCTAGTTTGATGACAATATTATTTGACGACTATAATATTGTTAGTGTACAACAGCCATCAAAATGCAAGAGTGCAGTTGTCTTGGTATATAGATGGATAATACAGTAATGCCATCATAAGAAATTACAAATTCCATTCAAAGAAGGTATTGCCATCATAAGGATCCCAAAACACCTGTTTCAGCTTTGAGTTGCCTGTACCATGTTCCTATGATAACTAACTCAACAGCTTCAAATCGATTCTATTTATAGAACTATCGTTTTCTAAATTGTCTCCTTTTTCTCCTTGTTCTCTCTCAAAAACGTCATGACCAATTATACCTTGTTATGATGACCATGCATGAAATGGCTAATCACGTGCCACCGGGCGGGCATTAGTAATGACATGTTTATCACAAAATGAAGGCGAGAGAAATATCGGGAAACCAATTAAGCCGGGAGCAAGAGTGGTCTGAGCTCGGAGCGCCGCCGCTTGCCCGATGAAAAACATCCCGTAAAGGTGGTTTCCGCTTTATGTACAGGTACCTAATTTTAGGATTCGAAAATTAGCCGAAAAACGATTCGAATAATTTGCGATTCGATTCGATTTCGAATATTTGGTTCGCTTGGACAGCCCTAGTTGCGACCCTATCTATTTATCACTCCGACCCAATTTGGGATCACGACCCCTGGTTTGGGAACCCCTGAGTTAGACTGTAACAGCTAACAGGTTCGGCTGGGGACTGGAGAACTTAGGTTTATCAAGAGGGTCTAAAAGCGTTTCAAGCTACGAAAAACTGCCACATCTAATACAGAAAATTTGGTGCTCTCGAAGTATGCGGACATCGGAACGTAACATGGGTAACAGGTTAGGGTTAGGCGATAATTTTTTTACAATTTTCCTTATTTTAGTCCTATTATCAGTTCGAAAGCTAGCCAAGAGCCTCCCGTAGTATTTATAGCTAAAATTATAGCCTAACCCTAACCTAGTACACATATTACATTCCGATGTCCGCCATCTTGGTTCGCATACTTCGGGAGCCCCAAAAATTTTTTTTTTACATTCCAGAAGAGGGGGTTCTGATCCGCAAACACGCTGACAAATAATTCGACAAATAAATTTATATCAATTTCTTATAATAAAAGCTTGGGAATGTATTCACTACTGGTTCTGAAAGAACCTCTCTGTCGCCCACTAGGGGGCTGATGGCCCAGTTTGAGGAACCCTGTATGGAGGGGCCATTGTGTCAAGCGACAATAAATGTAGCTTCTAATGTATCAGTGTGTGCTTGCCTAGATACTTGGTCAGAGTGAAAACACACAAGAAAAGAATCTTATTAAACAACTTACCAAATACCCTCTTTCCATTCTCAATATCATAAACATAGATCATAGAGCCAAAAGCGACAGCCAGAATATTTTCTGCAATTGGATGAAAGGAAATGCTTTCTGGTCGCTGCTTGAATTCTGCCAACGTTTGTATCGGTCCTTCACTGAAATTATCAGTGATTCCATCCAATGGAAGATCCCAAATTTTTACCTGTGGGAAGAGAAAAATGTAATAAATTGATTCCTATTTTGAGATCATTTTTAATTTATCTGTTCAACGTTAATTCAGGTTTGCCCAGAAAGCAAAAAAGTGGCCCACAGAGCAATCGGAGAGTGGCCACAATGTTTGGCCCAAAAATCATTTTACTTTTTACTTGACAAGAAAACTCCGTTTTTTAGTAGTTTCATTGCTTGTAATTTCACTGAATGTTTTTACTTTGTTAAGCATGAGTTTTTCAAACATAATGGGATTTGGAATCTACTACTAATATTAACACTATAAATACCACTGGAATGGTAAATAGGGGCCATGAGTGCTAAAACCTCCGGAAGGTGCAGTGGTGTGTTTAGAAGAAGGCCAAAGGGGCAACCGTCACGGGCAACACATTATAGGGGTGAGTTTGTTGATTGGTGATTTGAATAATAATATTACAAACATTTTACTCTTATTTGACCTTAAGTTTATTTATTCTCATGTATAACAATGTCTCTGATTTGTTTATCCAAAAAATTATTTTCAAAGTTAGGTATAAGGGGCAGCATTATCAGAAACTCGCCCCAGGCAGATGAAAAGTTTGTTACGTCACTGGGAAAGGGGCCCCGACCCACGGCCACGAGCCATAAAAAGTTTATTTCAAATTAGCGTAGTCTTTGTCAATGATACCTAGTAACCCCCAAGGTGCCCCGTTTGAAAAAGCCTATATCTCAGTGGTTCCAAACGGGAACACATGGCCGCCCAAAGACACAATGCCAGGTGGTAAACTGATTTCAGTTTTCCATTTGTATTAAATCTCCCATTCTTCCTAGGTTCATTGCTTCATAAAGAGATTTCACAGGAGGTTTTCACTTTGTTGAGCATGAATTATTTCAACATAAAGGGATTTGGAACCTTCCAATCAAAATAACACTAGAATGGTAAACAGGTGGCCATGAGCCGTTAGAGCAGGGGTGTGCAAACTGCGGCCCGCGGGCCAAATGCGGCCCGCAAGAAGAAGTTGTGCGGCCCGCGGAGAAATAACAATTTCGAATGGTGTACCCGCAAAACGAGTATTTATTCTTTCTCGTCGCAAAGCCCATACCAGTCATATTAGCAAAATAAGCTAGCAAAATTCTGTGACAAAATACACGATTTATATTACAAAAACGTGTTTCTCACTGCATTCGTTTGAAGTCGGTGTGACAAAAAATTTAAATAGCAGTTTCTTCAGAAGTTTAATCTACTATTTCTGCAAGAACCCCCAATAATACCGTAGGATCAATAGCAAATATAGACAATTTTTGTGCTTGCAACTACCAGAAAGCCTAAATTAAATAAAGGTGCGGCCCGCGGCATCACCCAGTTACTTGTATTTGGCCCGCCAATAAAAAAGGTTGCACACCCCTGCGTTAGAGGACCAGGAACCACTGGTTTGAGAAATTAAACAAAAGACAGTTAATTTACTTCAAATTGATATAGCCATTGCAAATTAGGGGCTCCCGAAGTATGCGAACCAAGATGGCGGACATCGGAATGTAATATGTGTACTAGGTTAGGGTTAGGCCATAATTTTAGGTATAAATACTACGGGAGGCTCTTGGCTAGTCTTCGAACTGATAATAGGACTAAAATAAGGAAAATTGGAAAGAAATTATCGCCTAACCCTAACCTGTTACGTTCCGATGTCCGCCATCTTGGTTCGCATACTTCGGGAGCACCGCAAATTATACCTATTAATAAAAGCATTTGATGGTATTTTTAGTGGCACACAGAAACGGCTCCGTAACCCCCAAGGGCCCAGCCCAGAAAAAAGTGTATTCTATTTCATTTATTGTATATTATTATTATTATTTAACAAACTCACAGTGTTATCAGCACCCGCAGTTGCCAATCTACAGTGGTTGAAAGGAGAAAACTCAAGGTCAGTGATGGAATCGCTGTGAGCGTTCAATGAGGGTCCTGCTCCAAGTCTCCCATTCGCATTAATATCAAACACCATGATTTTTCCTCCACCTGTATATAATAGGTTCAGATTGCTTATTTTGGGTTTTTTGCTTCGAACAAGGATATAGACAAGCAAACAATATATGTACAAGTAATGTAGGTTCAAATTCAGTTTCATATTATTTTCAGAAAATTTCTAAGAACAAGACTATTGCAATTATTCCCTAATACAGTAGTTTCCAACCGGGGCCCGTGCCCCGCCAATGGGGCATTTAAAGGGGGCCAAACTGCAAAACAGATTTTACTATTCCCTTTCCAGGAAAACTTCGTTCTTTCTAGTTTCTTTGGTTCACAAGAATATTTCATAAGGTGTTTCCACTTTGTTGAGCATGAATTGTTTGAATATAATGGAATTTGAAATCTACCAATCAAAATATCACTGGATTACCAAACAGGGGACCGTGAGTAGGGCTGGGCATTTCGAATCGGATATTCGAATCGAATCGAATAGTAAATTAGTCGAATCGCCGCCATCTTGTTTTACTCTTTCCGCCAATGTAAATTTCTCAATTTTTTTTTCATTGAAGCCATATTTTTTCAACACAATTCTGACTTATGACTCTTTTCTGTATTGAGGTATTGATGAAAACGTGTTCTTTTTATTGTCAGTGATGTATTCTATGTTTTCAGTAATTTATGTGTCTGGAGGACCTAAAATACTAAGAAATTTACATACAATTTCATACCTTACAAGTATTCGAGATTCGATTCGAAAAAATTATTCGATTCGATTCTGAAATCATCAGGTATTCGAAAATACCCAGCCCTAACCGTGAGTGCTAAAAGTCTCTGGACAAGAGCCTCGACCCATAAAAGATTGGGAACCAGTGTTAACTCTAAGCAAATTATGAGTGCGAAAGTGCTTCGCAGTCGAAAAAAAAAGTGCGAAAGTGCTTTTGCCGATTTTAACAAGTTAGGTGCCCTAGCCTTTCATATAACCCATTTAAAACGGCATAGATACTCAAAAAAGCGCTCCTCCGGTTAATATTATGAATTAAAGAGAAGTCTTTTCGTTAACCGAGTTCCCTTTAAGCGAATTCATGTTTAATTAAAACAAGCGAATTCATCGGCAACGAAATGACATTTGCTAACACCTGCCCGGACAAAACTTTCATGCAATGTATCACAGTGTCAGTTGCTTACTCGCGTAAACAGCAAAGAATTTCACATTTGTTACTCCTTCCATCTAACAGACACGAGGCGGGCTGGAAACCATATTAGTTACAGGGTGGATCGTTTGTACAAATCCCGTGCAAAATAATCCCCCCAAATATAAATAGTAATCAACTAATTAGGGTTAGGTGCGCTGGAAATTCAATTTTCGATTTATCCCTAAACCTAATCTGATAATTATTATTTTGTGATTTTGAACCACTTTGAAAGTCGCCACCCGCTGTTTTAAATGATAAGTTAACCTACCTTCCCTCCGAAATATTACGCAGGATACTCCCCTGTTTTAGGAGATAGGTTGACCTACTTTCCTTTCAAACCTTTTTCTCCGAAATATTACACAAGATCACTTTGAAAATCCTCCCGTTTCGTGAGCTAGCGTGACCTAATTCCTCATTTACATTTATATTATACTATTTCAGAGCTTGCCCAAAGACAAGTAATTTTTAAATGTCGACATGCCTTGGTTTGTGTGCGAGTTAGTTTAAATCGGGCAGAAAACTTAATATTTTGGCAAAATGTTGAGTAATGTCATGTACTTTCAGCATTCATAAATAGCACTCTTTGTAATGCTGCTGACCTAGTATCAAATATTCGCATCACAACGCCACTTGCGAGGTTTCCATATATTTCAATTACACTAATAGGAACGATGACACCAAAGAGTTTTCTTTTGCGAAGGTACACTAACTATAACCAGGGTGATTCTTGAGAAAAACGTGAATATAAAAAATAAACGAATGATATGATAGTGGATCCCAAATAGTTTTGAGTGTCTCGAAATACCAATCCATTTGATAAATAATTTTCATTCGACCACATGAACGCTGATATCCTGAAAATTAATGTTGAAAGAGAATTCCGCATTCTCAGATATCGGACATCCAGTCGCGATATTCAATCGTTCATATGCACAAATCTCACATTAATAGTAATTGCTACCCAAGTTTGTAAAGTTTAGAAACCAACAAAAATAACTTATCCTAAAACACAGTTAAAATTCAGTCGGCAATAAATTCGTCGCCAAGACGATGCCATACAAAAGAAAAAAGATTTGGTCACGAGAGTTACGTGAGATGACTGCCGTTGTTTATTAAGCAGAATGTAAAAAAATTTATAATTAATAAACGGGAGTTACGACGCCCTTTACACATCGTGTGTATTAAACTTACCTGGTAAGTACTATTATTATTGTAAGTACTATTATTATTGTTGGAGTATTTCGGACAATTTCGAATTTAATATAAGTGAAAACCCGCCATATAATAAAGACGCAAAAGTAAAATGAACATTTATTGAAAAAGTTATTATAAGAAAGGCAACATGATCGTACAATTCCGCCAAAACCTCGATGTTCGCAAGTGAGATGATAAATAAATACTTCCCTGTATTCGATCAATTAACTTTAGCGTATCGTTGTTCTGCCAACAAACAGCCGGGTGCAAAATATTTCCGTCCTGTGATATGCTCACAAATATTCTCGATATTAATATCATACCCTCGCGTATGTACTTTCTTTTAGCTCTTTAGTGATCCCTTCCATCCTTGGCCAAGTCATGTTTCGAATATGTGAACATTTTATTCGACCATACGTGGCCGGCGGGATGTTAAAATTGTAAACAAGAGAGAGGTAAAATCAATCGCGAATTTCGTTATAACGGCTCGTTTACGAATTGTTGCGCCTGTTATCGTCGAAAATGATTACATTTGTTGTATTTTGAGGCATTTAAGCAGTAATAATTAGGGCATGACATCATCAAAATCGTCAAGTGAGATCTTGAAATTGCAAATTCCGTAAATAAAATTGTGAATTATTCGATAACGAAATCAGCTTTAATGACCGTTGGGGTATTGTTTTGTTGAAAATTATTATTAATGTGACAGCGCCAAAAACATACAGTCCATACCGATGCGACTGCAATTTATATGGTCGCAATTGGTCTGGCGCGTTTATTAATAGTGTAAAATAAATTAAACGAATATCAATTATAACCAAGCCTGTCAGCGTGTTTATTTTCTGTTGGCAGGAATCGTAAAATACCATTTTGAGACAAATTCACTTCTATTATAAAATCCTAAATTTCAGTTATTATCGTTATACAAACAACGTGTGGCAACTTTTTAATTTATCGTCGACCAAAAAACCGCCCCACACTCGAACCCACCAAATGTGTGTCGAGCTTGAACGACAGGAACAGATTCATCGACGACCTTAATTAGGGAAAATATGTATTTTATTGGGAATGCAAAATAAATGTAACAAAAGGCATTGCCGTGAAAGGTAAAATTTGATCTAAATTAATCGCAAAAATGTTTTATTTTAAATGTAACGAAACACATTTTGCGATATAACCTTGTATTTCCGAAAACGGGTGTCCTGAAAAGTAAAATATGATCTAAATCAATCGCAAAAATGTTTTATTTTAAAAGTAACAAAACACATTTTTCGAGATACAACTGTATTTTCGGATACCGGGTGTCATGAAGAGTAAAATATGATCTGAATTAACCGTAAATAATGATTCATTCCAAATGTATCATAACGCATTTTTTGCGATAATAACTTTGTATTTTCGAAAACGGGGCGTCACGAAAATTATTGATCTAATGTTTTATCTATCGTCTAACTAACGTCTGAAAAACATCATTTTCGGGGAGAACTCTAGCCCGCGAAACGTTATTCAATTCAAAATAGAGAATGTTTCACGCATTTCAAAACGGAAAATCACCAGTAAGTGGACAGGGATTCGACCCTCCGGATTCAGTATTCTATATCCTCCCTGTCAGAACTTTCTGAAGAATGGAACAAAGAACCCGTCAAACCGCCGCCGAAGGAGGGGAGTATTTTTTGCACTAATAATTAGGGCATGACAATATCAAAATGGTCAAGAAACTGGTGAATTTGCAAATTCCATGAATAAAATTGTGAATTGCTCGGTAACATTTTAGCTATAATTATCGCCGGGGTATTGTTTTGTTGAAAACGCTTGAAACTTGAGGGAATTAGTTACAATTAGCACCTGACCTCTATTAGGCACTCGAGCACTCGAAAAAAAAGCATTCGAGCCCAATCTTTTTAGCATTAAGTCGCATACGAAAAATATCCTGTAAAAGAAGTGCTGTTCATTAACGTCATCTCGTCTTATGACCACGCAGAAATGCCTTTATTGCCGAATTATTCAATCGCTATTTTAAATCACCATTCAGGATTGTCACAATTTCAGATTTGCGAAGTTTATCACCATAGAAATACATGAGAAAGTTAATTATCGTCTTAATAAATATCTGCATCACGGTATGGACAATAATATTACCATTCGCATAAAATTGGGACGGTAAATTTACAAATCTTGATAGGTAATATTAAAGCCAACGCAAATGTTAATTTGAGTCCTCAATGTCTTCAACAGCTGTTGCCGATGTGAACGAACGGGTAAACCCGAAATATAAAACTTCGATGTCCGCCGACCCACAAGAATTCATATTTGTAAAAAAGAGAGGGCGGGAATATAGATTACCCAAAACCTGGATATCGCCTCCAAAACGATCGGTGACAAGAACAATTAGCGATTACAACGGAATTACCAGTAAAAAGGCTTTGTTGCCGATTTTTTAATGTTTCCACCAAGTTCATTCGGTACTCCTTAAAAATATTCGATTCAAAAAAATATTGAATTTTGCCCACCCGTCCTCGCATATTAATGAGAAATAGTTGTGTAAATATTGCAAAATTACAGGAAATGCCACTCCTTTCAACATTGTGATTACAATAAAATGGCACTTAATGCTATTTTGTGAATTTGGTGATTTTGCAAATCTGTGACATGTGACTGTGACTAAAACACATAACACTTTTATAGTCATTTTGAATTCATCGATATCATTGATAGTCATATGACCACTCTCTTCAAAAAAACTCACTGCGTATTATTCCAACATCTGGTTTCAATCACCCGGGAGCGTTTTTTGCGGGAGAAGCGGAATCGGTGTGCTTGTATAATAATCATATTATAAACAAGAATTTTGCCGTTAATGCAAAAGCTTTATCTCCTATGTCTGCATCTCATAGGTTAGAATTCCGGTAAATATCGTTATGATATGCAGAATTGAGTTACAAAAGTACTAGTATGTTACTTATTTGTCAACTTAATACTCGAAAATATTTGTTAACTTTGAATTTTTATTCCAATCAAAATCGGAAAAAAGTGCTATTTCGCAGTCCCTAAAAAAAGTTGCGAAAGTGCTTCGCAATTTTCGCAAAAAAGTGCGCTAATAGTGAACACTGTTGGGAACCACTGCCCTAATACACATGTAGCTCCATATGCTTGCTCTAACTGTTGACTCAAAAATAGTATCTATCCCACCTCGAACAATACCTATGAATTATTGATATAAATTAATACGTTCAAATTTGGTTATTTTGCTTTTGAAAATTTGCTACAAAGTTTGCTACATTTTGAGAAATGACATGGACCTAGCGAACACTCAGCTGAAATGTTTTTGTTGTCAAGATTATTTTTGTAGTCAGGGAGCAGAGCTCTCTGCAATTAATAGACCGATTTTGCCACCTCAAAGTATATCTCGAAACGTTTAACCTACGATGCCAATATAGGATCAACACTACTACACATGCTACTTACTCGCAGACTTAACACAAAACACAAAAAGTGTACCATGTTTAATAATAGTGGCAAATCTAATAGATATTTGATTATATTTGTTAATACAGACTCTCGAATTTGAATGAAAAACCTCGATCAAAAATCACAGCTAACCAATAAACATGTCACTTACTTGCAGACCCAACACAAAACGCGACCAGCTTAGCACTTGCAGTTGCATGGTTCCCGAAAGTTACAGGAGTTTCAACATTCAGATCAGAGATGCATTCCTCTTTCTTTGCGTTCGCAGTGAAAGCGTTTTTATACTTTGATGCCTTAAACTTATACATTTTCCAGTGATTTGAAACGAACAGTGAGTACTTTTACAGTAAAAGTGTTTTAATTAAAAGTTGAAGATATTCTAAATGGAAATTTGATGTTAGACAGGTTAGACTGGGAATTTTAATATTGGACAAATAGAGGGCCATGAATCAGTTAGTTCTTTGGGGGCCATGAGCAGATGGCTTTATCTAGTCCTGTGTAGTTTCGTACCACAATGACTTTCTAGTGGGCGTGTTGCAACAATTGTCGCATATGTTATTTCTAACCCCCGCCTGACTACGTCATACAAAAATCAGGTCACTATGACATCACAGTGACCTAATATGGCCCACCAAAATAGACGAATGGGTGTCCAAATCGCGCAACGATTACCTCAAGTCGAGCATAGTATTTCTCTCATTTTATCGTTGTAGCGATCCCGATATGAGAGTGATCGCTGGCGTTAGTAAGTTTGTTATTGTCGGCACGATCGTATTTATACTTTGACAAGCTATATGATGTGATAGGATGGCGTAGTCAGGAAGGAGTTAGGTTATGACAAGCCCACTAGAAGTTCTTGAGGTGCTGAACTACACCCGCCTTATATAGGTACCTTTCGCTATGAATATAATCATTTGCACTAAATTGAATGTGGGCTGTTGACTTATGTATTATGAACTTTTTATCTGTTGCCCTCAATTTAAAAAGGCTCCAGACAAACCACTAACACATAATTATTATTTTATTAGAGATGAACTAAAAATATTGTTCCGATTCGAAATTGCTTGCCCAATTTAACACACCCTGGGTGAGGCGGAAGCAGCAGCGCAAATACGAGTGGTAGATAATACAGGGTCCTAAACGAAATTGAGGCTTGAAAAATTTAAAATTCAAGTTATACTATTTAATTCAATAAATAGTCTTGTTGCACACTAACACAAATATATTTCTGTACCTTGGTCAGACGAAACGTTACAGAAATATATTTGTGTTGGTATGCAGCAAGACTCTTGAATCACTTAAGATAGTTATCATTACTCTTGCTACAGCATCATTGCGTTATATACATACGAATCCACCGACGCAAAAGCATAGAAAACGAGAAAGTAGTTGGTCTTGTAGAAACCCAATCGATAGCACAAGTATACAAAGACTCCCCACCAACAAGTATTCAATTTGAAGATAGAACTTGGGATTCACATAGTTTACATATTTATCCCAGGGAGAGGAAAGTCACTAAGACCGCCTAATCATATGGCGAACCATGACTTCTCAGCCAGTTAAATCACAATGAGGACAAAAACTTTCGCAATACTGTAATCCCTGTGTCCCTGTTGACTAGGTCTGTAGGTACAGAGGTAGGGGTGCTAATACAAAAATAATCCTACAATTTTTCTGTTTTATTACTTCTTTCATTAAATTTCATAGTTGTATTCAATAGGCAGATAGGATAGATCTAAAGTACCGGTAGAGTCGGAACTCTTAGAAAAAAATTCATGCCAGTACGATTTTTCCGATTGTGTAGACAAACATTTGTGTAGTAAGAATAAAATAACAAAAACCGCCCACCTTTTAGGATAGGGTAGGATTTACATATTTATCTCGGGGGAGAGGAAAGCCAATAAGACAGCTTATCCATATGGCGAACCACGGCCTCTCGTCCGGTTACCATTTCAAGTCGGGTATGGGATTAGTTATACTGTATTGTTTGTTTTCGGAAGCATGGACTTGGTGGTGGAGGAAGCCGGACCGGTAACCGGCCAGCGGTTACGTGAACCACCCATCGACGGTGAGGAGTCCAGCAATCCTCTCGCACATAACCATTCCTGCATGTGATTCGAACCTGCGAACCCACGCAGAGTAATTAGAGGTGCGGTGGCGAGCGTATTCCTAACGCTTAGGCTTAGCCCGTTGAGCCACACCGCCGCTGACCTGGCAAAAACTGTTAAATATCTGCTGAATGGATAATATGTAAACTTTATCAGATATTCAGCTGCGGCTTTTTGCTTATTCTATTTTTTCCGAACTGTAATCCTATGCAATACCAAAAAATGATATTCAAATAACCAAATCTGCATATTCACAACTTTCACAGCAGAACTTTGCTCACTGCACTATGACCTTATTTGTTTACTCCCTTCGTCAACTTCCGCATCCATTTTGCAAGATGACTCACATGCAGGGTTAATATTGAACTTTTTATTGTTCAAACTTTTAGTCACACATATGTGTTTCTAAAAATGACACTTAGCATTTTAAAATACCATTGATTCGACATAAAAAAAATTTAATATGGGTGTCTAATCAATACTAATTAAAATTTTGTAAACGTAAACGTAAATTTTGTAGTATAAAAGGTAATAAGTGCTTAGCAAAATAATAAAATTGCAGTTCATTTATTCCCCTAAATTATTATTTTTTTTAGTGCTCACGTGAAAGAATTGATGCGTGAAATAGGTACCGGCGTAGTAGTGTAGTGAGCCGAATAGGTTTTCAACGAAAACAATCGTGTTTCCCCGAAAATAAAACCTACACGGAAAATAAAACCTAGCCTGAATTTTAAAATTGATTTTGATATAAGCCCGCCCCTAACGAGACCTAGTCGATAGCGATATTTTTATCTAGTCGATAGCAAGAAATATTTCCTACACTTCTAGATGATTGATAATCTATATTTTGCAGTTATGTAAGTATATATGAATAAGTATAAGTATATTTTGATTTTCCCACAAAAAATCATACACAAAGCAAAACCAATGAACACATAGAAGATTGGGAAAATCGGGGTTATTTTTATATACATATTTAAGTTATTTTGATTGAAAACGTGTTATTTATAAGTAAATGGATATCGATTTTCATATTTTGTATATCTGAAAAACTCATAATTCTCTTTTGTAATTTTGTTTTTGATGAATGAAAACAAAATGTATTCCCCGAAAAAAGCCCTGGTGGATAAGATAGCATAGGATTTACATATTCAACCCGGGGAAGAGGAAAGCTGACCAGACGACATAACGAAACACGGCCTCCCGTCTTGTTACCAGTCCCGGTATGGGATTACTTAGCCAGTCTTATTTTCGGGGAAACACGCTAAATTTTTTAGTTTTGTTTGAATTTCTTGGTACTATTAATCTCCTATTACAAGCGTTGCTATAGAAACAGGAAAGAAATCGGACATAAACTGAGCCTAGGGAAACCGGGAAATGGAGCTTGGGTAGACAGCGACATACATTGATCAACTTGAACAGGGCACAGGGATATCACGGGAGGATCTTGCCAGTGAAATGGAGGACTGGGAAAGTTGAAAGAAGATAGTTATAGCAAGTGTTCGACTGTGGTCGCATTGAAGTGAAGTGAACAAACGCTGTGATGTAGATAAACGATGTTTGTTTCACATAACCCCTGGTCCTCTAGGCCCTAGGGGCTTACTTTTCTGTTTAAGACATAGACTTCAAGTCCATGCATCTGAGTGGTTATTTATTCAAATCGAGGATGAACAAATATCTGGTTATCTGGTTGAGGTGGACTTCTAACGGGACGAAAGGCTGTGGTTCACCACATAATTAAGCGGCTTCAACGACCCCTGGGTATCGCTGCTCGATAACCAGTTTTAGTTCCCCGCGGCTTTCCTTCCCCAGTAAAACTGTATAATTATCACTTTCTCCTAATTTTTTCACGTTTTTTTTACTGGTTGGAAAAAATAAATTTGACTTGAGTTGACTCCAAAATAAAATTCAAAATTCTAAGAAACTCATTTCCTTTATCGCACCCTACCCTATCTCACCCAATCACAAATTTATTGACAGTAAATAGGAAATCTGTTTAATCGGATAAAAATTTGTGGAAATTGAAATCAAATAATAATAGATAGATGAGAAAATTATAATGAACAAAGAAATAAATGAGGAAATAATTTCCGCGCAAGTTGCTTTCGTTTAATCGAAGAGAAGTCCACTAGCGTTTAGTGGTTACCGAGTCATCAAAATGCATCCCTCAGTGGTAGGAAAAAAATGCTGAAAACTTCAATTTCATGCACGCCTGGAGTTGTAATTTAATCAAATAAAAGATTCCCAGCTGTACAGGTGTGTTTTTCAGTTCACTTTTGTATAATCGAGCCATTCTGCCAACAAAAATACAGTGGCATCGCAATGTTACCGTAAACATCATTATGCAGAAGTTTTTAAATTTACAGGTTATAGTCTTGAAAGACAATTGTACTCATTTTGAGACCATGTTATTACGTTTTTAAATTTGCGAAACGAATATTGTCTAGTGGTGGCAATCATTATACTCGAAAATGTTCGGAGCTCTACCAGTGTCGGTTCGCTTTTGAAAGTTGGAACCGTTACACCAAAGCTATAATTTTGAGATAGCTTATAAATCACTGCAATTTCGTTCATGATATAATTTGCGCGATTAATACAATGCGGGGGCTAGATTATGCTCAAGTAAATTGTTCTGAGCGGTGCCAGTATCTTGTCCTATCAGTTTTCTCTCTCTCTCTCTCTTCTCCATATACATTGTCCCTGTCAATCATCGCCAAAGTCCATTTCCATCAAATTCTTAAACCGGTTTCTCGTTTGATCCAAACGCTTCATTAGACCTGGCATCAAACCTAAAGGGAAAAAAAAAATGCTCAAATAAATATACACCAGTGTCGCGCATCGGTACCGATAAGGTATTGGGGGGAGCACAAACTTTGTTGATAAAGAACAAGGTTGACTGAATAAAGGGTTCTTCCTTATACGTCATGAAAAGTGCTCCCATGAATAAAAAAAGGGGGTGAGATGTGCCGTCTGAAAATTTTGATTTCTATCCGTTACAAAATGGAAACGATTTTTCAAACGATCAATATCTCAATATCATTTAGCAAAATGGGCCACTTTATGTCCAATGAGTAAGAAACGAAAGTAGACACAACCCCCTAGAGCCTATAGGAAGTTTTAAAAGAAATAAAAGTAATAATCTTCAGCAAAGAATTAAAAAAAGCGATTTTTTCATAGGAAAAAAACAAACAAAAAGCGCAAGGAAATGGAAAACAAGAACACTATCCATACGTACATCTCGTGTCTAACAAGTATTAAAGCGAGATAGCGATCAGAGACCGCCGACTTATCGATCCAGCGGCGTGTATCGTTCGCTTTAACTCAATAGCGACACCGCGTGTCCTATCACTAATTAATTAATAACTCGCTAATTATACTAATTAATTAATCCAAAATCAATAGGCTTCAAAGATATGATGAATGCACATGCAAAATTTGGAGCAGATTCAACCTCGCTTTCGTGAGATATTGCGTAACATACGAGAGTGTCTAACAGACAGACAAATACCTATCAACATACTTACCGATCAAGATCAAAAAGTAACAAGATTACAATCTACCTTTTTCTCCGAACAAAGAGTTTGACGTCCTAGCCATTCCCATTCTGCTACTCTTGTACGAATCTAATGCGCCCATGATGTCAGCTGCTCTTCGTTCCATCCTGTTGCGAATATGAGAGACATCGTCATCCGAGAGAACCAAATAACTCTCTCCAAATACTCTCATGTCTTTCTCCAACGCACTTCTCTCCTTTTGTAAGTCCTGTCCAAAGATCATAGAAATAATGTGTTTAGAAATGTGGGTATTTCAAATGGAATGGTTAATTATTCGAATCGACTCGGGCGAAAATTTCGAATTGCCGGCATCTTGTTTTTCAGTCCGTCGAAGGTCGAAGCAAATTCAATTTATTTTACAATCGTCATATTTTTAAATTATGACTCCTTTCGTATTGAGTTATTGCGTGAACACTGCGCGATCTGACTGAGTCATGGATTATGGATTTATAGGAAATGCCCAGCTTTCGATGTGACCAGACGTGGAAAGTGTCTAGTAGGGACAGTGATGTGATTCAGGAGGTTATCGCGAACCCGTTTTTGGAATGAAGAATGAGTGCGAAAGGATTGCTGTACTCACAGGGTATATTGCAAACCTTGACGTAGCAACTGTGATCGAAAGGCAGTTTCATTTTAGCGCAGTGTGACATGAATCTCAATCGCAAATGTTTTCTCACACATGCATCTAAGATTGAACTTTTCAATTACAATGGCGGTAACATAAACCGTGCCTGCTAGGCTTCACCACGAAACTCTGATAGGGAGACGATACATTTGGTAATCAACGCCAAAATATCAAAGATTGCGGACCTTCCAAAAATATCAAATGCTGTCTATTTGGATACTTGTACCCAATTCCACAACTGGAACACTACGCCGGCAAATACTATTCCCCACATCGATCAACTTGTGACCGGACGAGAGGCCGTGTATCGTCGAACGAATAGCCCGGCATATCAGCTTTTCTTTGCCGCCAGAAAATATTTTAAAAAATCCTATCCGGGAAGACTTGTTTGAACATTAGTTAAAAAGAAAATGAATATACGCACCCTCAGAAGTTGTTTAGATTTAGATAGAGATTCAAGACCATCTTGCGCATCGCTTGGTTTTTTGCTGATGTTAACTTGTCTTGTGACCACGCCCCTGTTACGTGATTGGCCTGTTTGTTCGTGATGGACAGGTATCGAAATCGCCTTTGGGCTTTTCTTCTTTTTTCTGCTCGTGGATGATCGGTATGGGTATGCTTTTCCTTTTTTCTGGAACAGTTTTAATTGGAGAGGGGGCTGGTTTCGGGGGCTGCGGTTCTGGCGGAGGGGTGGGCGTCGGATCCCTTATAGGCGATGGTGAACCCCGATTTGGAACAGGCTCAGGTTCCATTACGGGAGATGGTGACTTTGGCGTCAACGCTGAATCAACCTCGTCGAGAAATTGCTTGTCGCTAGGTGGCGGTGTGGGTTCATCGTTAACGCGATCGTAGACAGGTTCTTGTGTTTCCCAAGCAGGAATAAAATTCTTCGCACCCTAAAATAAAAACATAAAAGCAAAAATCAAACACTTGAAAATGCAAGTCGCAAATCGGTACTGGTACGGTAAGGCTTTAGAGAACTGAATTTCATAAAAAATGTATTATCATTCAATTGAAATAGGTCTTTTAGGATGTTTGCAAAAACATATATATACAATATATAGGTTGTCCACAAGGTCTTTTTATATTACAAAAGGAATCGATACCTTATATTGTTTTGGCTCTCACAGATGTATTAAAAGAAGTAATAATACTTAAACAATTACTGATTAAAAACAACAAACCTGGTTAAGATATATTGAGAACTGACTTCATAACAAAAATTAAAACCATAAATGAACTTCATAGACGCCCTGTATATATATATATATATAGATTTTGAAGGCCATCTTTTTCGTTACTTGAGATTATTTGAGATCAATCGATTTAGGTATTAAAAAAAGCGACTTTTTTATCCAAGCAACAATAATTTAACAAAACTACGCACAGAACCACGTATCAAACAATGAACTCGTTGAAACGTCGACTAATGGCGCGGTATGGATGTTTCCCCGACCCTTAACCCCAGAATTATTCTCCCATTGTTACGTAAATAAATAAGGAAATCGATGCTCGGGGAAACGTTATTGGCAAATGGTCAATGTGAGCGCAAGAAATTCTGCCAAAACGTTCTTCAGTTACCTCACGGTAACTTAAAATTACTGTATTTTATTGCGGAATACAAACCTTTATCCACGGGTGTTCTTTACATTGATTTATGGTCGATCTTTTTCTGAAATAAGAAAAAGAATTTATATTTGATTCGTTCATCTGCATATTTAATTTTAACCAGAACAGTGGTACCCAACCTTTCATACCTCGCGGCCCCGCTTCTTTTAGGCTTGTGGTTCACTTCCGGAGACCGAAGACTTATCGATCGAAAGTTAGGGGTCCCCCAAAACAGAAACTGCGGTTCCGATTCATCCGCTCTTACTCCATAGTGACAACGTGTGTCACATCACTAATTAATTAATAACTCGCTAATTATACAACATGATTCATCCAAAATCAACAGGCTTCTGGTCCGAGATATAATGAATGCACATGCAAAATTTGGAGCAGATTCAATCTCGCTTTCGGGAGATATCGCGTGCATCTAACAGACAAACAAACAGACAGACAAACAAATACCTATCAACATACTTATCGACAAGTAATAACAAGTCTATCACTGAAACTGCGAAGAACGGAGAGTTTTCTTAGGGAAAGGAAAAAGCAAAATCAATTTTGCGCCTAGCATTGTCCCCCTCCAACTGCTCCGTGGCCCCTTTGGGCGGGGGTTTGAGGCCTTTCTAAAGTGCACGGGCCCCTGGTTCCTAGTTGGGAACCGCTGGACTGAAGTATTCTATACTCAGTTAGACATTGCCTTTTTTATAACTTCACGTTAGACTTATGTTATGGGAGCCGCTGCTCGATAACCATTACTGGTTTTGCGCATCTCCTTTACCCTGAAATACGGCTTGTTACTTATCGATTTTAATCGGTAAGTATTATGATAGGTATTTGTCTGTCTGTATGTCTGTTAGATGCACGCGATATCTCACGAAAGCGAGATTTAATCTGCTCCAAATTTTGCATGTGCATCCATCATAGCTCGGATCAGAAGCCTATTGATTTTGGATGAATTATGTCGTATAATTAGCGAGTTATTAATTAATTAGTGATGGGACACAAGGTGTCACTATGGAGTAAAAGCGCTGTTTTGGGGATCCCCTAACTTTCAATCGACAAGTCTTCGGTCTCTGACCGATATTCCCGTTTATAATTTATTGCAATCTTTATGTCTTGTGCTTATTTTCAGTATGGTGAAAAAATAAACAACTGATTAAAAGATTTATTGCTACGCATACCTCGGGTCTTTTATTAATAAGCGTTGGATGAAATCTTTCGCCAAGTCGCTCGTTTCTCCGAAATATTCTTCGTCAAACTCATATTCAACTTTTGTGATGTTGTCGAATGTTTCTGTCTTGTTGTCTCCGAGAAATGGCGAGCAACCACTTAACCTGTGACGTATTAGAATTATCATAGAAGAAGGAAGTAAAACAGGAAGTAGGAAACCGAATAGCATAGTCAGGGCCGACCTATGGCTCAGTATGCCCGCATTTTCATGGGCCGTGCGTCAATTATAACTTATAATTTGATGAAATATATACTCAATGACTTCGTGTAATAATCGTGATTTTGACTTAAACGTTGAGACGGATACATAACCATTACAAAATCTTAATTTTTAGCCGTTATTTTTATCTCTAGTCAGAGTAGGCTCAGCGTAATTCATTTCGCATATGCCTCAGCAATAGTTAAGGCGGGACCTGCGTATTATGAACCCTAACCTTAACTAAGAATTTGCTGATTATAACGTTTGGCATTGAGAGAATTTTTCCGACCGAAAGTAAGTGTCAAAAAAGGCTGCGGCCACCATTACAGCTATATGCGAGCAAATTAAGTTGTTTAAATTTCCAAATTTTCAGTTACTTACAGAATATAAGCGATGACACCGATGCTCCACATATCAGCTGGAAGCCCAATAGGTTCAAAGGCGATAACTTCTGGTGCTGTAAATAGTAGAAGAGAATAGTGAATGAAGAGGAAATGAATACTGGCTTTTGTGTGAAATTAGCGGAGTCTTGCATATCAGTGGCTGGTTGTATAGAGCCTTTTTTAAAATGTCGTTTAAAAGGCCTCATAGAAAAGGGACTTCTTGGCTCGGGCGTATCCAGGAGGCGGTGCGGGTGAGGGTCCAATAAAGCCCAATAAGCTTTTGTCACATTGCAACGGTACGACTTAACCGGAATACCGGTAGGTGCTCGCCACTAATACAGTCTATTAGTAATACTGTAATAATTAGTTCAGAAGATCCAATGTGCTGCAAAGACACACAAATAGGTTCGAAATTCACGATGCAAACGAAGAGACTTTATTAAAATAGTGTAAAATCCACACTTAAAGCAGATAAAATAAGAGCGACAAAATACGGTCCTTACTCAGCGACAGCAAAAGCAAAGAAGGGAGACACTGCGGATCCGAAACAGTTCACATATGCAGTGGTGGTTGGAGTCGAGTAACTGAATACAACTATTGGGCGAATTAGGGCTCAGACTCCACACACCAATGCATATGCAATAACCAGACAAGAAATATAAATAAAATAATAAACAATAAAAAATAGTACAACTCCAGTCCCGCCACAACATTTTTAAGAATTGAACTTTTTCGATCCTCCGTTAATATGAATCAGCGGCGTCTTTTGGTCTGGATTTCAAGGCTGTAAAGCTAGTTTTGATTTCAGGTTGTACCCTATGTCCATTTCAAAGTTTGGCTGCACAGGTCTTAGAATTACAAAAATGCGCTTTGCTTAAAACCCTAAAAATGTGACATAGGCTGTATCGGCTTTTCTGCTACGATATTTACTTCTATATTTACTCAATAATAACTTACCAACGAATTCTGGAGTACCATGGAGATTTTTCAACTCTTGTCCTGGTCTAACAAGCTGAGCTAGTCCGAAATCAATCAGTTTTATTCTCGGATTGTCGTCTTTGATGTCGTAGATCATGATGTTTTCAGGCTGTTGAAGTTAAAACATTTTGTTAAGTTCTTTTTTATTAACCCTCTATCACGCTAGCGATATTCTGTTGCCCGAATACATGATGTCATAACAAGTGCTCCCCGTTTCAGATTTTGAGATCCAACACGCACAACAGAATCGACTGGAAATTGGATCGAATTTCTGTTTCGATAGTTTATCATAGTGGGAACAGAAATATTTACTAAAGTATACTAGACTAAAATGTTCAAGACATTCCGAGAGCCTTCAAATTTAATGATATATTACCTAGTTTTGCTTTAGATTTAATAATCAAATGCGTATTTTCAGCACTTTGAGTTAATCGTAATCACCAAATGGGCCGACAATTTATCGTGTATAAATACATTGACTAATCTAATAAAAATTATGGTGATACGCTCGGAAATATGATATCAGAAATGAAATAAAATTCTCTATGGATGGATGATTGCACTATTCATCCATGTACTGCACAAGGCGACATTGGGTATGTAAGATGCTACTATTTAGGATCTTTCGGATTCGGCATTGCCATTTTTACACACTGGGCGACGTGGCGGGCATAAAGTTTGAATCAGAGGTTTCAATGGCGATGTCAACATTGCTATTTCTAAAGCTTTGACCGACAGACCCCAGTCCGCATATTAATATAGACACGAAATGCACCAGTATGGATTGTTTTCCTAAACGTGTTGTTGTTATTCTTGTTGTACTAATCAATTTCAAGTCATCAAATTCAGATTCAGATAATTTCTTTTTATCATGCAAGAATCAATGCAAACACAACACAAAAGTGTATGTGACGGAATTGAAAAAAAAATTGAAATATACTCGTAAGAAATAACGTCAGAGATCCAACGAATAAGGGGTCGCTAAGGACTGTAACAGTCTTCGAGTCAGCGACACCTGTTGGCTGATTAATTCAGAAGGGAAAGACTAAAAATATACTAATTTGAGAAGATAATTTAATTTACTAATTTAATTTCAAAGATAAAAGGGATCACTACTACCTGAACTTTTTCGACATAATCAAGTGATTTCAACAGGCAATTGGAAGAGGTTTGCATATGCCGAAGTATTTGTTATTAAATTTTGATTTTTCAAATAAATTTCTTCTCATTAAGATGACTAAGTATTCTCAACTGGAGGATTTCCGAATTCGTGGCCAAAATAGTGTACTCGATAGACGGAGTCGGCGCCGTTTTTAAATTAAGAGTTTGGATTCAGACTCGCTTGTATATTTGCCCCATTTGATTCTACAGCCCAAAACCCAAAAAACGTATCCAACACACGTCTATACCTTCAAGTCAAAATGTGCGATATTCTGGTCATGTAGATATCCAACGCTTTCAAGTATTTGGTGAATGACGCAAACTGCTTCCTCTTCTGTCAGGCATTCTTTCTCAGCGAGGTAATCGAACAATTCACCACCAGCCACTCTGTGAAAGGGAAATTTTTATACTGATTGATTTGAATTCGCCAAAGCGGGCGCCACTGCACACTAGTGCACCGAGCGATTTGCTAAGTGCGTCCCAAAAATTAACGGAATTGTCTTAAATATAACTAATATATAATTAAATATCCTACATATTGTATTTTATGTAAATGTTTCATTGTTTCTTATTTTAAATGCTGTGTATATGATCTGTAAATTTATTTTACTTTTTTATGTCGTTTACTCTCTGTTACGTAATGTCTGCCTTAGTTGTTACGTACTTGGTACGTAACAATAAAGGTAACCAGAAGTTGCTTCAATTTCACGGACTGCAGTTTAGGTATCTACTGAATTGATAATACAGTCCCAATATACATAAATTAGGTATTGCCATGGCTGTATAATTACTATACTAACAAGGCACGGAAGTGTCTTCGCTTCGTAATCTCCGCTTGCTGAGTATGTTAACCGAAATTATATGTTTATTTCGAGCAACGAAAAATTATTTTAAATTAAAAAAATTATTTGTTAGCTTGTTATTTTTGAGGTGGGGCGCGAGTATTCCCAAATTCCAAAAAGGGAGCGACTTAAAAGTTCAAGAACCACTGGTATAATATGACTCATATATAGTACATTCCCAATATGCACGAATCACAAAACGCCACGTCTGGATGAGTACTACTACTCAAACATGGAATGACCTTAGCTTTGTAATCTCCGCACTTAAGTATGTTAAGCGAAATGATATGTTTATTTTAACCAAACGAAAAAATATTGTCCCATAGTATATTGTCTTGTATAGCCTAGTTCTAGTATAACTCATAGATAGTACATTCCCAATATGCGCGAATCACGTATCGCCACGTCTGATTAAGTAATACTACTCAAACATGGAATGACCTTCGTTTTGTAATCTCCGCACTTAAGTATGTTAAGCGAAACGATATGATACGCAGACTCCCTTGGGACATTTAATTAGTTTATGTGAGAAGTCACATTCCTGTGCATATATACGTTCTGTGAGACCTATAAAGATTTCAGCTCATCTTCTTGTGGGAATTTTCATGAATTGCGCAACTGGGATATCGCGCAGTGAAATCGAAATCTGGAGCCTTCGTATTCACAGAGGGTAATAGGGTATTGAATAATAGAGTACTGAACGCAATCCATTTGGCACTCGCTAGACTGAATTGCTAGCCATAAACCCCACACACGCTTCTGAAAAAAAAATGCGTCAGAAACACGTAATAATTATAAAACATATAAAAATTGAAGCCTGAATATAGAATCTTAAACTTCTGTGGAAACGAACTATAAAGCGAATGTACCCTCTAGCTCGCCTGTCACACCAAATTTGTCTCCGCAAGTAGCATATCTATTCATTCTATTATATTCAGACATGCATACTCGATTACAAGCAATGTCTCAAGAGAGCAGCCATGAATCTTCAAATAGGTTCTGACATTTCTAATTGACATTTAGACCGCTAGTGAGTCCGGAGGGTTTGTAAGAGTCATCAGAGTCTGGAAAGCATTTCAAGCCACGAAAAATTGATTTTTTCTATATATAAAAAAGGGGTCCTCTCCACAACAACCTCTTCCTCCTGGGTATCACCCTGTTCTGTATAATAGTTCAAACTGGTTTCTTATAAAAAATTTCGCATCTTTAAGGTAAATCGTCGAAAGAAACACTTTTAAAACGTATACTCCCAATAACTCACAGTTCAAGAATTAAGGTTATTTCTTCTCTACTCTCAAAACAGTCGTGTAGTTTTATGATCCCGTGATGTTCAATTCCGCATAGTAAACCAATCTCACGCTCAATGTCTTCACGTAGAACCTGGTTAAATAGAAATAGGTTTAATAATGTTGAATCTGCTTGGATAAGTGTCTTGTACCAAAAGTCTATGTGCGTGCGTAGGGCAAAAAAGTTTTTTTTGGTAATATTATACACTATGAGAGGATTCAGTATATTTTAGTGACTGATACATAGAATATAAATAAATATTGATAGCATTACCTAACCCAGTGGTCGGCAACCACCGGGCCGCGGCCCGTTGCCGGTCCGCGGAAAGGTTACTACCGGTCCGCAGTAAGGTGTCACAAAAACGCAGAACGCCCTATTAGCACATTTACAATCTAACAACCACAAACCCTAAGACTAAAAAACAGCACTCAACAGCAAACTAGAAAAAACTTTTACTTCTTTTTTCATTTGTATTACTAAATTGGATAAATCAGAGATCTGCATGGTAATCCTGATTGAAAAGCGGCTGATGGATAGCAAGTAAAAAAAATTAAAACAAAAATACATTTCTGGGGAAAATGTCGTCCTAGATTAATTAACACTCAACTATTTTATAATCAGGCATTGAAAATGACTCGTATAATACAGACCCCTACCTCCCAAAACTATTTGGGGGTGGGGGGTGGGGGGGGGGGGGGCATTCATAAGATCTAGCATGGGGTAGGGGCAGTGGCGTGCCTAGAAGGGGGCAACCGCCCCGGGAAGCACATTGTAGGGGGTTGCAGAACCAAGTTGTAGAGTTTGCGTTATTACACATGCTCTTCTAGATGTGTTCTTATTTAATTAAAAGCTAACAGTATGTGTTCTGTGGTGATTGTTATTCAACAAGGGTTGTTTCCCCGACCCTTGACCTAAGAAAAAAGTTTCCTATATTTTACAATTGCAACATTTTTTGATGCTTAGTTTAATAAATCAATCGTTTCTTTCCTACTTGACTATTATTTGATTTATTCTCGTGTATGACGACATCTATAATCTGTTTATCACCCAAATTATTTTAGAAGTTAAGTATAAGGGGCAGCATTATCAGAAACTCGCCCCGGGCAGCAGACTAGTTAGACACGTCCCTGTCTGGGGGATATTCGCATGATCAAACCTGGATGGAAGGATCTGGCCTGACATGACGTCACTATGACCAAATTTTGATACGATATAGACTGAAGGGTGGGGACTCGAATATTGATTTGAGCGCGGCTGGGGGGGCTTGGGGTCTTTCATATGAGCGTGACTGGGGTGGATATTTTTAGTTGGAAACTTTTTTTTTGGGGGGGGGGGTGGGTACGGTACTTACCCCTCTTCTACTGGCCTTTGCTCTCTTTTTTTTGATACATTTTGCTGCGAACTGCTTCCCCGTTGAAACGTGTTCACATTTTCGCACAACGGCAAATTGTCCACTGGAATATATAAATTATGGTGATATAGTGAGCTTATTTTTCATTCACGTGTCTATAGATAAGGGGGTACACAAGAGGTGGGGTGCGGTAAAAATTTTCGTGGCTTTTCACACAAGGCTTTGTTTGGTGTGGGGGTGGGGATACGTCGTAAAAATCCCTCTATACGGTAGCACACAAGCCCAAACATAAAGATCCCGGTTCAAAAAAACATGACAGCCCCCTGGAGTAGTGCTTACTTCTACAGACCCTTGTTCTGAGTAAAAAAAAACGTGCCCACCATCAGAAATATGTTGTAACGAATTTGGTAGCTTGTAAGCCAAACTGTAGAGAATCCAGTATCTATCTGTATTATAAGCTACTGTCTAGATCAGGGGTAGGTAAGGTTTTTGGACCAGGGGAAAAACATTTTGTCTACTTAGACTGGCGGGCAATGTTCCCTCTAATTTTTTGTAGTATGTGTGCGCAGAAATTTTGGTATGTGCGCACTTTTTTGGAAATGACTAATATTTGTGCAAAAACCAATGAAGAAATTTTGGCGTTCTAACCGGGTAATAAGTGAGCCAACAACAAACTTTCTCAACCTGCCAACTTTCTCAACCTGCCAACGGAGCATATTGTTACATTACATCGAAGTACGTCTGTGCGCAGTAAACCTATGCGTGTGCGCACCCTCTGAAAGCTGTGTGCGCGCCCACACGCGCACACCTTAGAGGGAAGGAACACTGCTGGCGCGCCATGTAAGTGTGACATAAAAAGTTACATTTTATGAACAATATTTACAGTGCTACAAAGCAACGGTGAAAAACAATAAGCCTTGTGCCAAAACTAAACTTAACCCCAATCTCAACAAATTCCTTGGGTTATTTTTAGCAACAACATCAAAATTTGGTTCAGTCCGATTGTGACAGCATCAGGCGGGCCAGATTGAATTACCCAAGGGCCGGATTTGGCGCGCGGGCCGTACCTTGCCTGCTCTAGAGTCTGGTTTAGAGCGTAAAAAAAGTCGTTTAAAAGCCCTTCGCACTCACCTTCCTATTTCCTCTGTTATTGTGAAATGCTCTTCCACATTTTCCTGCTTTATTGTGATCGTCATTGTATTTGTTTTATATGGAACCACATCACTAGATATAGGAAATATTTACTAGAGATCTGTGAAAATAAAGTGTTCATGACAGTGGTCAAGAGCGTAGCCAGAAAATTTTCAAAGGAAGTGAGGCCGTAGGGTCACCATATTTGAAAAAGCAAAATTCCGGACAGTTCATGACTATTTTCATGACCTCGTAGTAAAAAATATGCGCACGGTACGAAATAACAATGTTCTTTATTAGCAGTGTGCACAGCACGATTGCAGATGCAGTGAAATTCCGGATTTCGGACATTCAAGCATTTTTTAAATTCTTCCCGGACGCAAAATTTAACCCTAAATTTCGGACATGTCCGGAATTTTCTAGACGGTATGGCAACCTTAATTTAGACCTTCAAGACATTTGAAAATCCACGTTTTCCCTTTACCCTAATGGCAACCCTAAGTGAGGGGTCTAAAATTTTTATTTGCCAAGTTAGATCGAACAGCTGGCGAGTTCGGCCGAACGCCGGAAAACGTGTGTTTTCATGAGTCTTGGGGTCCAAAGATCTTTTCAAGCTACGGAAAATCACTATGTACGATACAGAAAGATGCTTTTATTTTTTTTACATCCCCCCCTCCCCTGGTTACGCCCCTGGCAGTGGTCCCCAACCATGGGACCGTTGACCCCCAAGGCGGCCAAGAAGCAATTGAAAGGAGGCCACTATGCTAGGTGGAAAATTGATTTTACTTTTCGCTTCACAAGGGAACTCCCCTTTCTTTCTGGTTTCATTGTTTGATGAGGTTATTTCGCAAAGTGTTTTTTCGGGGCTCCCGAAGTATGCGAACCAAGATGGCGGACTTCGGAATGTAATATGTGTACTAGGTTAGGGTTAGGCCCTAATTTTAGGTATAAATACTACGGGAGGCTCTTGGCTAGTCTTCGAACTGATAATAGGACTAAAATAAGGAAAATTGGAAAAAAATTATGGCCTAACCCTAACCTGTTACCCATGTTACGTTCCGAAGTCCGCAATCTTGGTTCGCATACTTCGGGAGCACCGTTTTTTTTTTGTTGAGCATGAATTGTTTCAAAATAATGGGATTTGGACAGAGAACAGAAAAATGCTTTTTTCATTACAAGGGATCCAAGATTCACACGGAAAGTATTCGTCATGATTTTTGTCTCGTGTAAACGATAATAAACTGAATTTCACCGTTTTCGTCCCTGCTAGTTCACTCGAAATCTGCCCCTGCGATTTATTTCTTACGGCACGAATCTTTCTATTGACAACACCTTCTAATTTGAATTTTGGACATTTCAAACTTTAACTAAGGTTTTGTTTGCTCTCCTGCTTCTGTAAATCACCTGTTAAGTATTATTTCACTCCGAAGACAGCTCCGCTATTAATATTATTTTTGAACTACGATATCAACATAATCAAGTCCAGGCTGACTGATACAGCAAAGCCAACTTATCCAGCAAGCTTGTCTCGAATAGTTATGTCAACTTGAACGAGAGACATGCACCGTCCTTTACGTTACACTAATTACCAAATCGATTTATGGCACACGCGCAAAATCAACTGCGAAAAAAAGTCGTAAAATAGTATAGTATTTCATGGTAATGCATATGATTAAGTAGTGCTTTCCATATTCATCCCAAGGCCGAGAAAAGCGGATACGACGGTTTAATCATATGGTAAGGTTTAAAACGTACAGAATATATATAAGATGAAAGGTTTTGCCGAGAAGAAATGATACGTGTTCACTCACCTGAAATAATTGAATTATTTCATACACACACAACCATAGAGGAGTTATAAGTAAGAAGAATGCGCTACCTCACATAGTAAACAAAAATAATAATAAAAAATAAATAAATAAAAATTACTTGCCACACCATATTTTTAATTTTATAATGTTTGGTTCTGCCAAATTGACCGATTTTCTAAATGGGAGTGAACAGTAGAGAGAAACATTTTGCCAATCTGATTATAGTTGGAGTCGAATCCCAAATTGCTCAACCTAAGTTGCCAGAATTGGGTGCAGGCGTCTCGTTACACGCTTACACAGATATATTTCTGTAACTTTGATCAGACGAACGTTACACTAAAAAATTTTCGTTGGTCTCGCATGAAAAAACTATTCTGCCGTAAAATAGGAGTCCGTGGCTTTTTATGTTCGTCCTAGAGGGCAGAAAAATCCATTATTGCTACTGTACTAATATTCCGAGGAAGACATAATGACAATTAAGGTATTTGATTAACAACAAATGTTTGGAATCACAAATAAAAACCGAAAAAATTCGCACAAAACGACGAGAAAAAGCCAATGTTAACAACCATGCTTGAATATCTGTCTGAGAGACAGAAGTGTCAGAGCGTCCCACAAATAGCGATTATTACGTCATTGTTGACTCATTGCCGATGGATCATTGTTACGGAAATAAAAAAGGAAATCGATGCTCTGGCAAACATCCATAGCGAGAGCTAATGGATATGATACACACTTAATTTGTAAGGCCAACCATTATCTAATGCTGGGCAACATGAAGATTTTGAGTCGGGCCACGAAACTAATAAAAATTGCTAGTTTTATTTATGTCACAATAGTTAATTTTGATTGAAGCAGCAATCAATGACGATGCTGTTTTCTGCTACTGAGAGGTAATTACCATTTTAATCATAAACGTTTAAGTGTTCATTTTCGTAGAAAGATCTTAATTTTTCTTGTAGTTTTCCCCTTGCAATAAAAAGTTAAGAATTTTTGGGCAAAAAAAAAGGGCGACGAAAGAAAAAAGGTTGATAACCACTGCTCTAAGCGGACTTTTAACTGCACCTCAGCAGGCGACGTATGGTAGTTGATGCGGGCCTGTAGTTGCTATCACGGGACCCTGAGCGAAATAAATTGCGCGGGCCAAAGGTTGCACATGCCAGGCGCATATGATAATAAAGACATATTTACGTACAAGTACCGTTTCAATCAGACTAGAGACATTTGAAATTACAGTATTGAAAAAGGACAAGTCTGGCGAGCTGGTTCATAAATCCATTCCTATTTCTAACCTGCTGTCTAAAGTGTCTATATTTCAGATCTATGGCCCTCTTATAACTCTCGGAATGGAAATAAGACTGGGAATTATGATTTTGTAATGAAAAATAAATTCGATTTTCACATGTTACCAGAGTGCAAAATCGCAATTAAAGTAACTTGCGACACTTGCACGCGGCGATGTCATTCAGAATACGAGGTTGTAATTTATGTTTGCATGGGAAATCGAAAAATCTACATCTGAAATTTGCGTGGAACCTATGGAAGAGCGCGGTCGACTGCGGCCGCATAAGTTTCGGTGGCCTTAGGCCGTCTCGGCAACGCTTTAAATAGTGGTTCCATTACATTTGAACCCACGGCAATTACACCTGCATGCTATTGCACCTATGGAATTCTTTTTGTTTTACGGATATTTGAACCCATACTAACCCTAACCCATGGGTTTTAGCACCCGCATATAGATTGAACCCGCGGATATACACATGGGTTCAAATGTACGGCCACCATAAATAGTACCTTCTGCCGTTGACAGTACACCGTTTGCTTCGAACCAATATTGTATGTACAATGTACATTCCATAGTAGTAACCGTGATTCAAGATGTGTGTTCATGGTTTCATTTATTTGTATGCTATTACAGTGGTGATCGTGCATTTGAACCCACGTACATTTGAACCATGTGCTAAAACCCATGGGTTAGGGTTAGTATGAGTTCAAATATCGGTAAAACAACAAAAATTTTCATAGGTGCAATAGTATGCAGTTGCAATTGTCGTGGGTTCAAATGTTATGGAACCTATTACAGTATACATGTACAAAGTTCGTCAATATTTCGTCGTGCAAGAAATCACAAAATAATACAGAATACAAGATACTATACTACACTAAATACTATAGAACTGTGTGAGGGTTTTCGGTCAATTCACCGAAAAAATCTTGTGTAATGGGTTCTCTAAAAGTGGCAGTAACTATCCGGTTAACCGGATAATTAAAATACAGATTACCCGGATATATCCGTTATCCGGGTTGTGAAAATTATAGGTATCCGAACTAACCCTAATTGATTTCTTATTGACCGATATGCGATATGTGAGGCGGTCTAGTGGTTAGAGCGTTGGAATGGACTTTGATGCGTTTCGGGTTCGAACCCCATGCCCGCTGACTTGCACAGTTTGTAAATAAATTGGGGACAAAGTGGCAGGATTCCTGCCTTTTCAAAAGACATTAGCTTATCACTAGGGCTGAGAAGGGTTAACGGTTACGATTTCTTTTAACCGTTGACTGACATCTCAGGTACGAGAATGGTTAACGGTTACGATTTCTTTTAACCGTTGACTGACATCTCAGGTACGAGAGATATCGGGATAAGATCACGCGAAATTGCTTTGTACCAATCGTGACGTAATAAGATAAAATTGTAAATTATTACGTCAAACGCACGCCGCAGTTAACCGGTTAACTATACGCGGTTAACGGTTTTAAAGTGTTTTCCCGGAGATTCACAGCCCTACTTATCACACATCAGTGACGGCCTTGCTAGACCACAACTTGGGTTCTCTTACCACTTGGTTCCATTACATTTAAACCCACGACAATTGCACCTGCATACTAATGCACCTATGGAATTTGTTTTTTGTTTTACGAATATTTGAACTCATACTAAGTTACTAACCCTAACCCATGGGTTTTAGCACCCGCATATAGATTGAACCCGCGGATATACATATGGGTTCAAATGTACGTGGGTTCAAATCAGTGATGAGCTGTAGCCGGAACGCACCGGAACGGCGTTCCGGTTGTTAGACATTTTATTGCATTTGCGTTCCGGTTGTTGAAATAAAATTATGTCATAGAAAGTCTAGTTCTAGTACATCTTGTAAACTCACTTATTAACTTACGTCTTGTTACGCCATAATTTTTTTTTTACATTACAGCAGACAAATATTTAGCGCACAGCAATAACGTGTAATGGATGTTTTGCCGACCTTTGACCCCATGAAATTTCATCCTACACCTTTCTAATTCTAACACA